GCAGTTTTTAAAGCAGAAAATGCACAAAAACACCTGCGGAGACCTGGGTTCTCTATGGATGCGAGTCCTGCTTCCCCTGCTACCGCAAACGACAGCCTAACACCTCATGCTGTGCAAACAGTGCAGTCGGACTTCGACAGCAGCCATCGAGAGCTTCAAAATGCTGCAGAACTTCAGCTCAGGGCTTCAGCTACAACAGACTCTCAGATCTGCTTTAGGAGCCGGGTGGCTAAACACAYATTTTGTTATTAGACATTGACTTCYTTTCAGTAACTTTTTCCTTAAGAGAACTGAGCTGCTGTGCAGGGTTTCTACTCTGTCTCACACCAGCTACAATCATAAACTAAACAAGAACATGAAAGTGTGAAACTGGTGCATTCTGCATATCAGACCTTTGGCACTTCTTGACCATCCATCGCATTTAAATGCTGAATCAGAGTCCTTCATTCTCTCTGCACAGACTCATTTGAAATGGAAATACCCCAAACCAAGTTCTTGAATATTTCAGTTCTTGAGTCTATTGCTAAGCACACAYGCTTCTCATAATCACGGGTGTTGAGATTATTTTTCTCTTTTCCTTTCAATTTTAAAACAAGGATGAGCCTGACAACATTAGCTATTTCAARGTGGCAAAAGAAAATGTTGCATTAAATTACAAAAATACCAAATAAAAAGAATTGCTACTTGTTTTTTGCAATTGCTTAGATGCAAAAATAAGATGCCAGTATTTTTCACGAGCACATAAATCTCCATCTAAAAACACATGGGTTCACCAAATAGGAAAAAATAGACACCAAGTACCAATGGGTGCCATGTTGTYTTTGGCTGTGTGACTTCTGAGTATAGCAGAAACAGTGACTAAAGGGTGACTATAACATCCTCACATTTATAAATAAATGTTGTCTCTTGCAGAACAGACAACCCAGAAATACAATATCCATAACTAGTCTAGGAGATAGTAGCAGGTAACCATAGTTATTCTCTTTAGTGGAATCCTATTTGATCACTTGTATTTTTGTTAGGTTTTGTACAATATTCCTATCATAATAGCTCTTTATTACCTGTGATTATCTAGTCTCTCAACCATGAATCTTCCAGTAGTAAAACACCACAATTAAATAACTATTTCCTAAAATCTGAACCCTTTGCTTCCTTCAAGATACAGATCATTTGACCAGAGAGTTGCTCTGCTAGACAGAGAGATGAAATACAGACATACTGAGTCTAATGGTGCTCATTCCCAGATCATCCGTGGTCAAGACGCTGGATTCCATTTTCTGCTTTCTCTGCTCTGATTAACAGTGAGACCCAGGATGCAAAAACATCACCAAGCTGTTGCACCAAAGCTTCCTGGAGYGGTAACAGGCATTTCTTTACACAGACACAGAAAATACAGGGTACTTCTGCAAGAGCAAACGTGAGCTCCCCATTGAGTCGCCAGCTGCCATCCTCCCTCAGACTTGCTCACCAAAGGCAGTCGCCAAGAGCTGAACGGGCCCGGAGAACCTTTTTTGCTAGATGGTGAAGTCGAGGTGCAGGGCGCTATGTGAGCACATCTGGAACCGGAACCTGGAACTCTTGCGTTTTCTAGTCCTGCTTTGGGAAAGTTTCAGCCAGAGCTGTAGTTACCCGACTCATGCAGTGAAGATTTAAAAAAGAAAATAAAATATAGATACTTGGCTGTTTCAAAAGACTCTTGAGACAACTTTATAGAAGGCACAGACAATTTAGACAATTTACTAGTGTCATATGTTTACAGGGGGTAAATTGCAGATGGCTCTTTATGAGAAGGCAGCACTTGCTAATACAAGTTACCATGAAACTACCATTGTTTTAATTCAAGTCACTGTGTCATTACTGCTAAATATCTTAAAGCTGAGTATACAATTAATCCATGTCACCAATGCAGATAATCTGCAAACCATTGGAGCYGTTTAATCTAGTGCTTTTAAAAGGAGGAAGGGGAAGAGACAAAAGAAATTATTAGACTTCCAGTAAGCAGAAGACAAAGCCTATTAGTCAGAGGCAAATAAAGAAAAGGAAGTCAGCGAGATAAGATGCAGACCCCTAGGGAGAAAAAGCTAGAGAGAAGGCGGCCAGTCTGGGAATGCTGATGGAGGCTGTTAAGGGGTTCCCTTTCATCTTCTGGTGCCTAGCAAGTCCCTCAAGTATTTACAGACTGGTCTTTCATCCTGCAAGAATMCTGGCTAGCAATCTTCAACACTTTCCTTATTTTTTAAGTTGAGGATGAAAGTTCTATTTTTCTAACAAATCCCATTCCTTCATTTTTACAGTTTCTTTTTAGCCAGAGATGCATATGTTACATTCATTGCTATAAATCCATGCTCCTAATGGAACATGTACACTGGTTTGCACTTCACAAGCTCTTACACGCAGTCCAGCCCAAAGCTGAGGGGATTCATAGCACTGCGTGGCTCTGAACCATTGAATAGAGCAACAGCTCCCCAGCACCTTAAAGAAAACAGACTGTTACAATCTGGGAAAGTTCAGAACGGTACAAGAGGTACTCACAGTCCTGCAGGCTTGGAACTGCATCTGCTTGTATCCTATTCCCCTTTAAATCACTTTCTGTCACACAAAACTGTAGCTTCACCAGGTGTGAACACTTAGGAGAATTATATCCATCCCCCATCCTTCCACTCCCTTAGCATCCGCTTTATTTCCCCCTGTCTCAATATATATCAACATGACATATGGGTTATTTTTCCCAGTCCTTAGCTTGAATCACAAGAAGCATCAGAACCAAGTCTCTTCATCAATACACAGAAAATTACAAATGTGTCCTTTTTCACAGGAGTCCACCAAATGCTCTGTGAGTCTTCCCTCACCCTTCCCATAAATCCTTCTCCAGCTAATTTCAACAAAAAAAAAAGCTCTTAAAAAGTATCTGTTCTCGTTTGTGTTTCCAACTCACCCTTTCAGCTCAATTGATAACCTCTTTTTACATAATCCATACTAAGTGCTACAGAAGCAAGATGTAATTAAATGAATTTCCAAGCTCAAGAAGTTTTAAGAGCTACTAATGCATATTAGCTAAAATGTGCTATGAACGTGCCAATGTTCAATCTCAAAATAAAGCAAATAACTGCTTGGAATAGGCACCAAATCCAGCTTCAAATATCCAGAAGCAGATTACAAATCGTACTACAGGTCATTGGTTTCAACATGAAAAGGAGTTTCAAAAGCATCACACTGAGCTGTCAAGCAGTATCACAGCTGTAAGCTTTTCCATGACTAGTTTGGTAAACTTGTTCAAGGATTGCAATAACTCATGTCTGCACAGAACTTGCTCTTAGGAAATAACCTGCATTTTGGAAATCTTTACAAAAGTTGCTATTTCCAGTAAGTTTCTAATGCCAGTCATATTTCATGAATTTGAACTAATTCAACATAAATCATAAGCTCTGTTTTTTCTGCTGTCCTACAGGAAACCCTTGCTTTAGACCGTGCGCTGTCTTTCACGTACAGGGAAATAGTTCCACAGACTATTAACTAGCATCTGTATGTAAGCTTTTAAAGACAAAGTACAGAACGGACAAGAACATGAATCCTTTACTTCCTATGTAGCCTTAACCAAGTGACCACTTTTTGCCTTCTGAAAAGTATCTTATRGCTGGAAAACCTGCAGCAACAGAGTCCAGAAGTACTCAAGAAGCCCTAGTCTCTCCACCCTTCGCCCAAATAAAGCACAAATGCCTTAGTTATACATTAACTGTTGAACAAAGAGGCTCTCAAACAGATAATGAGCACATTTTTAGAGGATGTCTTTGGATCAGCCACTCTCCCAAAACAGGCAGGCCACGCAGCAACGCTAAAACCAACAGCAAGGCCTGGTGCAAGTTTTGAGAAACATGTCAGCCCTGTGCTTGTTATATCACTACATGCCTMTTTCCGAGCACTTCACCCATTTCCCCTCTAAGTCATATCGTAACGCACTATCCTTAGAAGTAATGATAATAATAAAATAGCAGTGGACCACTGCTGTATTCTGCTACTTGGCACCTGCCTCCTCGGCTATCAATGCAACACCTTGAAACAGAGCGCACCAGCAGCCTTAATGACCCACCAACAACCAGCTATTCTGTCCAGCAACCACAGCGCTGGCAGCAGAGGCATACTCCTTAAACCAATATTTGCTTTGAGCACAAGCGACGCCAGTCGCAGCTCAAGCTGCTCCGAGCGGCCYGCCGGTGTCACGGCCGCCCTGGCGACCGGCACCGACTGCAGCCTTCGCGGCACGGGAAAACACGCTCCGCAGAGGGAGGCAAAGTTAAGTACGCAGAAGGAAACAGCGCCATGCCAAGGTGGCACGCTCAGGTTGTGAGAAACATCTCAGGAATAAGTTATATTTTATGGTCTGTTTTTTTCTTTTCTTGTTTTTCCCCCTCTCTAGGCAGCGGGCACAGCCAGCTCCGAGCCTGACGCTTTCCCGGGGAGACGAGGAGTATTGGGGCACAGCGGATGATTCGCCCTGCCCGGGGGGCTCTCCCGCTGCCCCGAGGGAGGGGGGCTCCAGAGGGGCCCTTTAACGCACGTACCGGCCAGGACAGCGCCCAGCGCTCCGCAGCGAGGCGAGGGCCGGCCCAGGGCACGAGCGCCGCCCGCGCGGCTCGCAGGGCCCGCGGGCAGGAAGCCCGGAGCGCGAGCGCAGCCGTCGCCCCGGCGGCTCCCGGCCGAGCCGCGCGGCCCCAGCCCCTGCTCCGGCCCCGGCCGCCACCAGCCCCCGTAGCGCGGCGCCCGGCACGGACGGCAAGAGACATGGTCCAATTCACTCACCCTCCGCGGCTCCCGGCGCGACGCTGCCGCCCCCTCCCTGCCCTGCATCACTTCCGGGGATGGGGAGTCAGCTGGCGGCGCCGCGCCGCGACGTGCCTGACGCCGCACGCACGCTGAGGGCAGGGCGGGCAAGGGGCCCGCGCGCCGCCGCCCCTCGCCTCTCGCCCACCGGAGCCGGGGGGAGACGCGGGTAGCGGCGCGGCGCCGCTGCGGCAGGGAGGGGAGCGGGACCCCCGCGCGCCCCTTCCCGGAGGTAAAACAGCGTGACGGAGATTGGGAAAGCGGCGCGGGCAGGGAGGGCGAGTGCAGGGAAGGGCAGAGGCCTGGGCGCTGGGGCCGCTCCCCCCCCCCCAGCTCCTCGCGTTGGTTCAGCCCAGCCGCGAGCGGGGCAGGGAGGAGGGGGCAGAGCCACCCGGCCGCCAGGGGGCGCCGCCCCGCACCGGGCAGTAACGCGGGCGGGGACGGGGCCGCCCGCGCCATCTTGGGGCCGCCCCGCGGGCTGCGGGGCTCGTGCTGCACTCGCCGTTGGCCCGAGCGGCCCCGGGAGCGGCGGGCGACGTCTCGCCCCGGGCTTGGGGCCTCCCCCAATGGGGCCGCGGCGGCCAATGAGTTCCAGCAGCTTTGCGAGGGAGCAGAGTTTGAATGTCCTGTAAAACCCAGTCCTGGGGAAGGGCCCGGAGCTAGTGCCCCCAGGAGCCCTGTGTGAGCCCCCCGAGGCTCTGACAGCAAAACTTACCCCTTAGAGGTGGATTCAAACGCTTGGTTTCTAAAGAGTCAATCCATTTCCTTACAAGATGTGCTTGGGTAGAGTGTCCACAATGTAATTAAAAAGCCTCAGTGCTTCTCCTGGGAATTGAGTACCTGAAAAGCATGGGATTCACAAAAGGGGCTTTATTAAACGAACCAAGGAACAAATAAAGGGACAAAGGCAGCTTGTTCATCTCCCACATTAATATTTATACGCTTGTGTCCCTTCCCAAGTTTGGGATAGTTCTGCTCAGGTGTTTGGTGGCATTCAGCTCAAGGCCAGGGCAGGGGGGTATAAGGTACATAAATCCCTTAGGTTTCTGTATGCTTCTCTATTATGTAAGAAAGGTCATTCAAAGATAGCTGAGATTTTGTTCTTTCTGCTAAATTTCTAGCACTGCATTAAAACTTCTCTGCTTTTGACTTAATAGCTAAAAGCAAAGGAGGAAAAAGCATTTCTAAATCTGTGAGAGCCTGAGCGACAGTGTTGCACAGGACAGTTATATTCTTTCAGATTTTACTTGGACAGTGTCTTATTTTAGGAGAAAATTGAGAAGTATTTAAAGCAGTTTCTTTTTCCAGCTTTTCTCCTTCCTATCTCCATAGTCTAAGTCTGCATTTCTAGTGTTCCTGAGGTGGCTACTTCATTAAAACACAGGACTCTCCCCCAGAGCACATTTACGTCCCACCAAAACCAGCTAACGCTTCAACAACCACGAAATCAAGAAAATGAAAATTGGGTGACCTAAAGGGACTAGTTAAAGGCTTCCACTTCCATGCATTCACACGTGACAGAATCCTAATTGTTTACAATGTCACTTGTTTGAAAAGCCATAGGGAAAGCAGTGATAAAACCTAAGCCTTTTGCTATTGAGTTAGATTCCCTTTGCTTTCAAAACCCTTTTTCTGGTCAAAAGACCCCTCTGTATTTCAGGGGGAGCCAAGTTCAGTGCCAAATCTCAGGCGTGCAGAGAATGGCAGAATCCACGTGGCCGCTGATGGACAGCATAAGTACAAAGACTGCGAGAGGAGGGTTCAGAGGTGCTCATCAATGCTGCAGAGCACTTCAGTTTGCCAGCCCGGAGATACAGGCACAACAAAATCTAAAACCATGTGAAAGTCACCTTCTTTTCAGCTGACACCAAGCAGCAAAATGGTTCTTTTTCCACTRAAGAGAGCGCGGCACCAAAGGCACTTAGGTTATAGGTGGAAACAATGAGGAAATGCTTGGAGTTGGATTCAACCCTGATGGCAATTTCTTGAAACATACAGGCTTGCATCACTGGTAAAAATTGAGGATGTGACACAGTTATGGAAGAATATGATCTTTTGTCTTTATTTTTCATCGTGTGAATATTTTGGCTCTAGCTTTGCTATGATTTGGGTTCAACTGAATCTTTTTGGTTAAAAAAAGAAAAGTGTGAATGCTAAATCAAAAGTGAAAGACCCCTCACGTTGCTGCTTTGTTAGGTAGGTGCTGCAGCCCAATGTTTGCAGTGGCTGGACTAGCTGTCACAGGCCACTAAATCCTGTTGATTTGAGTAAGAGAAGGTAAGATGAAGGTGGAAAGTGGGTTTCAAGATTTGGCATCACTGGAAGGTTGCCCTGCCTGCTACCAGAATCCCTGATACCATCTCTCCTCCCTGTACAGGGACTGCCTGTCCCAGTGTTGTCCCTCATGGAAACGAGGGGCTGAAGCCCCTGCGGGTGCAAGAGCAGGGCTCTTTCACGGACATGTGCAAGGGATGAATATGAACTACTGACTTCTGGTTACTGTGCACACCTGTGAAATTTAGTGATCTGTTGATTATCTGTTGCATTAGCAGCAGGAGAGAGAGAACAGGTGAAATAAAGTAGTTTTAACATAAAATAGACAGGAGCTTAAAAAAAAAAGCTAGCCACACAGTGGATTTGAAAATACGAGATATGTATTTCCATACTGGCAGAAGCTAATAGTTTTCTGCACAATGGTGTTGATACCTATGCTTTTGAATTATGTCACTTATTTCCGTAACAGAAACGTGACGACGGCTTTGATGCAGCAGCCAGTCCCCCTGCAGTTTGTCATTGCAGCTTTAAGACTCCTTGCCAGTAGCAAAGCAGCTGTCAGACAGGAGTTGTGTCGTGCCTAAGCAAAACAATCTAAATATGAGAAGTTCAAAGGGGCTTTTTTAAAATTATTCCACCCAGGGCTCCGTTCCCCACCTCTCTCCCTCTCGGCAAATATGGTTCCAGCATCAGCACTAAGTCTCTGTATGTTGCTAATGAGTGCCCTAGTTAGCTCAGATGCAAGAGAGGGATCCATTGTTTAAAATATTCTTTTTTTTTCCCCCCACAGGCTATTACTTTCACCCTTTGTTTCCTAAAATCCTCTATGCACGGCTGGCAGATTTGATGTTTAAAGTCAGTAGTTGATACTTGTCTTGAAAAGAAAGGATAAAGCAGACTTACGACTCCAGCAGCGGAGCTGTGCACAGGGGAGGAAGCCGCTGGATGCCCCTTCTCGCTCCAGCTCCTCCCTAGGGCACGGCTGCACTTCAGCTGCTCCGTATGAGGAGGCTCCTTGCAGCTTGTCCTGCCTTTGCTTTGTGCCGCTGCTCTGGGGGAACGCTTTGCAGTGCAGTTGACAGATACTTTTGCTTACTGTTACACAAACAACTTAAATTCTGTACAAACCTGAAAATAGCAAAAGGTGTTTTAGATTATTTAACTTTTGCATCAACCATCCAAGAAAAAAAAAAAAAGAAAAAAATGTGTGTTTATTTCCCAAAAGAAAAATTTGTTATTACATTTTGCAGCCAAAAGGATCATTTGTTTTAATTATCACCCAAACCATTTGCATTTTCATCGTGCAGTAACTCATTAACTGCTCGAGCCTCCTTTGCAGGCTTGGAGACAACAGGATATTTCATGTGCTTGATGTGCGTGCTGATGGCCGGGGTTGCGTGTAGATGAAAGGCACAATACAGCCCGGCAGTGTCAGAGCCGCCTGCCACGGCACCCAGCAAACGCTCCCTCTGAAGCCAGTGCTCAGCTCACTTCCAGAGACTTCCCTCCAACAGTCAGCTCCAGAGAAGCCGGCAACCTAACGCTTCCACCGCTGCTGCGTTGTGCACGGACACCTACCTTTGACCTCACGGCTTGTTTTGTTGCAGGCCACAGGGGCGAGTTGCCTGCAGTTAACGCGGGCGCCGGCGGCTGAGCGCGGGGTGCGACGGCCGCACCAGGAGACGAGAGGGCTGGAACATCCACTTAGCATTCCAGAGAGGTGCAGCGTAATTACGGGGTAAATGCCGAAGATTTAAGTAGGAAGATGAGTAACTAAAAGGACATGAAAGCCTCCCTTATCTTTCTGTCCCACACAAATTAATTTTGCACACCCACAAAGCTAATACAAGTGTCACTTGACAAAGTTACACCTAAAACACGATCTGTACCGTCACTTACCTTTCTGTAGGTGTGAGCTCTGTTTATTCCAAAGGAGGGGGGAGTCTCATTTACAGGGTTTGAAATTGGAAGTAATTCTGCTGCCCTAGTGGAATTACTCCATTTTCACGTTATTCCTCAGATCACAGCCTGACCCACATTTTGGGGGGTTTTGTTCTGCTTGCTTTTATGCCTTTAGATTGAGGGGGAGGAAGGCTTCTCACACCTTCATTTATGTGTCACTGCAGGAATGGTTTCCAAGCAGGTGTGTAATGTTAGAAATTGTTAATTAAACTCAGAAGTGGGATCAGCTGGTTGCCTGCTATGTACGAAATCTGCTTCGTGTCTTTTCCAGCATGCAGGGCGTGCAGCCAGAAAAGCAGTAGCAGGAACCTGCAGCCTGTACCTATACCGGGGCAAAGGCAAGGGGCTCCACAGCCCTGTATTAATTACAGCTCTGAGGAAATGAATAAATTCTAGGCAAGGGGGGAGAAGCAACTAGTGGTAAAAATAAGTTACAGAATTTAAAATAAAACCTTTATAGATGCAACCAGGCTGTCGGTATTAAATCCAAAAGTGAGAGGTGTGATTACAGCCCTGCACAGAGGATCATGTGATCCTAAATTCTGGCCTCTGAAATTATCTGATGCTTAGGTCAGAATTAAAACCTATATTAAAAGCTTTGTTTCTTCCCAAGGTATTCCTCTTATTTGCCTTTATAGATTACAAGGCACCTGAATGGAAGGTCTTCTACCTTCTCTTAGCTGTCAGCAGGGAATAAGAGCCTCACGAGCGCAGCCAGAAGTGAGACTTCAGATGAAGGCAGAGGGGGGAGACCAGGAGAGGCTCTAGGTGAGGACAACGTTGGTGACTTAAGGTTGTGCTGGGCCAGTTCACGTAGCTGAACTGTACATAGTTTTTGCAAAATAATGCACTTTTGTAGAGAAAGGCAGTGATTCTTCACATAGTTGAGTGCTTTATGTATGAGTAATTTTATTGCCTGAATAGAGTGGATAATGTGAAGTATTTACTCCAAGGTGTTTGAAGAAGTGGGACTGCTCATCTGATTGATTGTGGATATTTGTTTCCAAGAAATGTCATAAACATTTACTAGAAATAATTTCTTCTATATACGAAGAATCGTGTTTATCTCTCAAGGGCAATATACAATTGGTTAAACATTTTAAATTAAGAATAGCAAATAAAAATGTTCTCTCAAGATTCAGGAAAATAATTTTATGTCTATAACTATTAAAATCCATAACGAGGTGAAACAACAGTCTTTAGATCATAGCGTGGTTAACATAAAGAGCAGGGGTCAAATTCTACCTTTAGGTTAGCATCCATGATTCAGGTTTTGATGAGGCGAAGATCTCGTGAATGTCTGAAGTCACAGACACTCATTGCGGTGAAAAAATGACCTGCAGATTAGCAATATTTCAGATTCAGCCACTTGGGAAGGGTGCAGCCCGAGAGCTGCTTGATTAGAAACCTCCTCCCAGTGTGTTTCTTGGCAGAGGCCGCACGTTGGCCGGGCGGCCCCCGCGCCCCCCCAGTGCCTTGTCCCCTGTCACCGAGCACTCCCTGCACGGGCAGGTGGGCTGCCCGGCCACCCTGCGCCAAGCCGGCCTCCCGCGCAGCCGTCCCCATCGCAGCCGTCCCCATCGCAGCCACCAGGGCCCCTGGTCCCGGAGCAGAGTCAGCCACAACAGCTCCAGGCTGGCCAGTGGAGCCTGAGACAATCAGATATTATTGACCCTTACTTCTCATTGCATCCATAATAATCTTTTACTTACACACTTCACAGTGTTGCCACATTTTATTTTTGGATAGTAAGGAATCTTTGACATTTCTGTAATATTTTTCTTTTTTCTTCTTTTTTTTTTTTTTTTTACTAGCGATGTATTTATCACAGGGATATTCAACGTCTGGGATGGAGTATTGGTGCCACTTAAATGACAAAATACTCATTTATATAGAATGAGAAAGGATTTCATTCCTGGTATTTCACAGAGATTCCAGGCACTATTGCAGGCTTATTCAGCAGAGAAACTAGGTAGTCAGATTTCTGAAAAACAAGACAGTTGGGACTGCCCTAAATCCACAACAAGAGTCTGCAACACAGCAGCATTTCCAGCCTCTTCTGTAATGCTTAGATCAAACTGCTTGCATCACCTTTTAAGTATCAAACTGCAGCTGAATCACTGTTACACACTGTAATGGAATCACAAAGGAGCTTCTTGGCACCTGAAACCTACACTGGTTTTCAGCACTATTGTAGTGGCTTCATCGTGCTTTCTGTCCACAGATTTCAAGGCACTGGCAAAGACAGGGCCCACATTGTTGCGGCAATTCTGCAGACAGAGGGATGCTCCGTAAGAGTTTCAGTGACTTGCCCAATGTCTTGTTGCAAAACAGCTGTGACACAAAACCCAGGCATCCTGGCTCCAGGACTGTGATTCAACAAAGCACTGAAGCAAGGGCTCAATTTTGAGCAAGAGTTTCAGCTGTTTGAATGGACACAGATTTAAGTGTCAGTGTCAGCTCTCCGCAGCTAATTTTCATTTACAGCTATTTTTCTCCTGTAACTCAGCAGATTTTTATATCTACGTTGGAAAATTTAAATAGATGTTTTTAAAACTAACTCAACTGTGGGAAAAAATGTGCTGCCTGCTGGCTTTAGCAACCCAGTGGTCATACACATGTTTGGGGTTTTGTATTTTTTATTCAGATGACACCAGTTACTCGACAAGAAGTTCTTGGTCTTTACCGCAAGATATTCCGAATAGCCAAAAATTGGCAATCTGCATCGGGACAGATAGAAGAAACTATTAAAGAGAAACAGTACATTAGAAGTGAAGCCAGAACATTATTCCGAAAAAACAAAAACGTACGTGGGTTTCCTTGTGCCTGTAATTTTCTGGATGATTCTTTCCTTGTGCTCTGTATTCTCTCARTATTTAGGTATTAAGATATTGAGCTGATTTCTTCAATTTTCATGCTGCTTAAAAACTAGTACAAACGTATTACAAAGTTTACTTAGCTTACAGTTTAAATTTCACCTCATAATATAATAATAAACATTTCAGATCTTCATTAACCACTTTGAAGACTAGAAGGTCTGGGTTTTCATTAAAAAAGTCAAGAAAAAACTTAATTCCAAAGATATGGCCTAAAAAGTAGTTTGAAGCATCTTTTGATGTTTTTAGAAAGCTACTTAAGTATATCATTACCTATGAAATGGCAAACAGGACTCAGTAGCTTCTTTCTTTTCAAAGCAAAACTCATTGGTACTTCTTTTAAAAGAAGGAGGCCTTTTTTTTTAAGATATATGCAAATCTTGATATTCCAAACTTCTTTCAAGAGGAACAAATATAGACTCTCTGGTAATCAAGATTCCTTTTTTTTTTTAACCATCACAGTATTTATTTACATCCTATTTTGATATAGGACAAGATTCAGCTAATGCAAAATTCATCATAAAGTGAATTTAAGACCCAATTTACACATTTCTGTGTATAATTGACTTTAATGGACATTTTCTACATGAAATGTAGCCTAAAAGGTGTCTTCTCTTTTGCCCCTAGCTATATGATGCCCCTTGCAATATGATGCCTTGCAATATGATGAATAGGTTGGTGTTGTTTTTCATGGAGATATCAGTAGTTTACATGTGTATTGTCTTTTTACTAAGAAAATACCATGTTTGGGTAAAAACCTCCCTTTAGAGCCTCAGCTCTGACATATTATGGGGCCTTATACCCAATGCCATCAGCCCAGAATTGTTAAGGCAAGTGCTAATGTTACCTTTTATGGATGTGAAAAATGCAGTCACTGTATGCCTGGGATTGCCAAAAAAACAAGCAAAAAGAAAAGTCACGTGGCTATGCAMCACTTACACTTGAGCTTCTAATTGCTAATTGCTGCATGTTCTCTTTTTACAGTTGTTTTAACTCTGTATTATCTTAGGTAACAGATGCAAAGATGATTAAACAGTGTATAGAAGAGTGTGAGGCAAGAATAGAAATTGGACTTCACTATAATATCCCCTACCCAAGACCTGTGAGTATAAATCTAGTCACAACTCTTCAGCTGTACCTACTTAGCCCTCACTTAGCACTATCAAATCATAACTTCACATTACTGTCACTGCATTGCATTTTTAGATAAGCTTGTAATTACGTGCTGTGGTAAATCAGATGAGCCAAGTGTATATTGAAATAGTCTCCATCTGTGAGTTGGCTAGTTTCTTCTCAAACTGGGAATCAAAGCTGCAGCGTGGGGGCATGAGGTAATGTCTCAGGGACTGCAAATATTTAGGTAGTCTTGACTGCGCAATGAGTTGTCATGTGTAGAAAAAGATGGTAATGGAATCAAATGGCATCAAATCTGTTAATCTTTCCACATGAGAAAATAAGTATATTTAATTATTTAATTATATTATGTTTATGATGGGTAGAAAAATTTTCACAGGCAATACCTTTTAAGTTTTCTTGTAATAAACTGCGTTGTAAGGTGCTTGTCTATCTACTTGCTTCTATTCACGTGTYCCTAGAGAAAAGCCTGCCAAATATTACTGAAATTGCTAGAACTATTAGTCATGTCTTATATTGCACCATTCAATATGCTTTCCTTACTGCCCTGTCATTTGTGTCTGTATTAGTTTCTGTTGCCTCCCACAGAGACTTTCTCTCTCTGCCTGCTGATTGCTTTACAGTCACTTCTATAGCTTCCATATCAAGCAGCTCATGGTCATAATTAATTTGCATCTTCATCTTTATTTATAAGATGCATGCGGAGGATACAGTCACGGTTGGCTTCTGTTTCACACTTAGYTTGTTCTTCTCCAAACACAAAATAACAATGCACATGGGGCAAGTAATGCTCCTAAGAATGACTTTAAAATGTATGTTCCATGGTGGTTTAAAATCCCAAAGGATCAGAGTTCTCTTGCATAAACTAGATCCCTACTTTCCAGATTTTCACCATATCTGTGCTGCTTTAATCAGTGCTTTTACTACTGTTTGCAGCTAAACAGCTATCTTGAAGGGTGACAGCCTCAGCAACAGTAACACCTGACTGCTAACACCTACAATTTTCAATCACTTAAGGGGGGGGTAAAGGTGTATGACTCCTACCAAGTCTTACGAATGACAAAGTCCCTGTTGATCAAAGCAAAAGCCTCTCACCTTGTTGCTCCTTGTGCTCAGGGCATCAATGACATTGATTGTGCATCTTAATATGGTTGTAAGCATGACAAGAAGGCAGCAGCCTTTCAATACAYACACAACCTGAAGTTATTTTGTGGTTGCTTATTTTGTGGCAGGCATGAAGCACAGTCTCCTTAACTTCTAGGACTTCTATGCAGGAATTCATAGTGTTTTCTGGGTCTTTTAAAGGCCTTGTTCTGGAGTGCCATCTGCAGTACTATTTCAGTGTTTCAGCATGGCCATCTGACCTCAAACTACAAAACAAACTTACTAAAACTTAAAATGTACAGGATTTAAATGTTTATCTGTATATTTTACACATTAAATACAACATTTTGGGCCTGAAAGTTAAATCACTCATCATTCTCGGACAGCTATTCTAGAAATTTAAGAAAAAAATGGTTTGGGACAGTTTGGTTGTCCTCTATCAAGTTAAAGCTGAATGAAACCTACTCTGTATATGGCTTCTTGTAGCTTCTCAATGTGTAACTAACTGGTGGGATTCTGTTTTCTAGATTCATCTGCCTCCTATGGGTCTTGCTTCTAAACAAGGCCGTGCATTTCGACACCAGGAAAAGCTGAGGAAATTTTCCAAGCCCATATACCTGAAATCCCATGATGATATTTCATAACTCATCATTCAAGCTGTGATGTGTTTGGACTCTAATCCTGCAACTCTTTTTTTTTTGTACAACTGTGAATGCAGCTGTTTTGGTCACATGCTCACACATTTCCTGAGGCCACTAAATACAATGCATATGATGGATAAGGTTGGTCTGGTATTTATTACAATTCACTGATGACTGATCAATAAAAGTATAAGTTTTCAAGGAGGGAGGTGTTATGCGAAGATTACTTTAACATTAGGAAAAATTACAACAGTTTCTAAAACACTGCTGATCCCTGAGAGCAGAGTTCTTCGGCAGTTAGAATGGAGACTATTGTGCTCAACTGCGATTCAAGGTAGTRCCTTACATAAGGGTCAGCAAAAAGCAAAATGTCCAAGAGAATCAAGCAGACCCAGTGCCTCCAGAGCCTCCGATTGCAAGTATGAATTTCTTTCTTTTGGAAAGGAAGTGGGTGCTGAAAGATAAAGTCTGGAATTCCATTACACAACTAAGACTAAAACAATAGTGTTGGGTTGCTCGTGTTCTCATAAATGGATGGAGGAAAAACTTTCTCAGCTGGGTAGCAATAAAGGAATAAGCTTTAGGTGCTTTCAGGAGCAAAACCAACATATSTCATTTTCCAAGATCTCCAACTCATCAGTAAAACCCTAGTAGAAGATGGCAAAGAGATATTCTTGTCTATCATAAAAAAAAAGGGGRAAAAATAAATAAAACCGATGGTATGGAAGAGCCTAACAGTTCCTCCCTCCAGAATGTACTTTTAAGAGTAAGAGAGATACAGGCCAATGAATGAGAAAGTAAAAGGAAATAATCAGAAGTGCTAGTCAGCATGGCAGGTACCGGCTAGCCCAATTTCTGACTACTCTCTGGCTTCAGTCCACAAAAGAATTATTCCCATGTAATTATTTCCTGGGAATGTCGCATGTGGGTAATACCTTCTACTGAACATGTAAAATGTCATTGTTCTGCTTCTCACTGAAGTTCTACAAACTTACTGCTGACAGAAAAACACAGTCTAAATAGTCTTTTCCTATCCTCATTCTGATACACTAGCRTGGAGATGCTTCAACTCAGCCAAACCAACATGTGTAAAGACACTTTTGAATGGAAGTTTAGACTCAGTCTTTGTTGTGAAGCTATGCCTTGACACTTTTAATTTGTAAAATTCATGTGTCTAATTAAGGTAGCGATACTGTGACTCACAGACAGTAAATGAGCGGTTTAAATATACTGCCTGTATTATAGTCAAATCTCATTATGGAGCATAACTATATGCTGTAGATAATTTCAAAAGCATGCCCATAAAGGCACAGAAGATTTACAGCAACTTGAAAATAACACTATGGGATTGTGTTTATTTCTTAAGGAATATACTAATATGCAGTTTGTAAAAAGCTCAAGTAGCCTGAAGTAATTCAGGGAGGTTTCAAACTTGATTAACTGAAGTTCACTGACCTGAACTGCACCAGGAGCACCATATTATTAGAGAAATTCTAAAATGCTTATTAGCCCATTMATTTTTCAAAGGAAGTGTTTGGGAAATGATGGATTAACTAATGCCTGATCATTTTCACTTTCCAGCACTGGAAGGTCAACACAGAAATTTGTTACCACCTCAAGCTACACAGCTGAATGAAGGATGTATAATAAATAAAGCTTTATTTTCAATTCTGTAGAGCAGCCTTTTCCTTCACAGCCTAAGTTAAATTTCGTATGGAAGCGAGAACCTACCTCAAACAGTATCCTTTGCTTTTGCAGGTCAAACTGTTAAACCACTACGTTGAGGGAGCAGATGTCTCACTGGTACTCATATTAAACACCAAACTTAATARCCCCTAGCAAAAGACAACACCAATTTCTTTGACAAATATCTTGAAGATACCACAACATGATATTTCTAAATGTTAATTTTACTTATATTTTATTTTTTATTTATTTTATATGCTGCCCTAAATGCCTCTAAGTTCCTCAGAGTTTGCAATGCACTCAGTTCAGCTCATCAGTGCACGCTCTGTCCTGTGAATCAGTAACTTCCTCACTCCCCTCCCAATAAATCCTGTCTTCTTCCACTTCACCATGCTAGTCAGGAAATTAGCCAAACATTCTATTTTACAGGAACTCATCAGAGCAAGAATTTGGGTCTTCTGCATTGTCACTTTCTGTTTCCAAATGGCTTTTTTTTGTACGGATAGAAAGGACACTTCCAGCTCCAGAGAAAACGTTCCAACCCTACTTGTCTTTCAGTATCACTAGCTGAAAATCTGTCATTTATAAAGGCACAAGTATCTGTCACTCACCAATATTTGTGTGCTGATTTATTTTTCCTCCTTATCAGCCTTGAGTGACTAGTGAGGTTGGGCATCTACTCTCAACAGTAATTATAGGTCTGTTTTRTAGATTATTTAGTGTGAATTTATAACTAAGAAACAGAAACCCCATGCCTATAAAATTAAGAATTCTATTACTACTACTACAAAGAACTTCATTTGTTCGTAAATTTTTCTTGTGAAATAAAAGTTGATCTAAATAACAAGTGAGGTTTTTTTCTTCCCCCCCCCTCTTAACTGTATCTCATCCAAAAAAGGTTGTCAAAGTTTCAAGCTCTGCCAAGTTTATCATTCTTCAAAAAGCCATAGATAAAACTCAGCAAATGAGGTTGGGAAGCTCACTTCAAAAAAGATCACAAAAACATACCTCTAAGATATTTCTCAGCAGCAAATGTTACTTTTTTTTTCTCTAATAGTAAAAGCAGCTCAGGAAATCACATATTTCTTCAGGACTTCAATAACCGTGAAATAAAGCAACTCAGCCGTACCTCATCTCTGCTCAAGGGGACATAGCAACTGACAGATGCATGAACCTCCAAGCCAAGTCTCTTCTCATATCTAAATCCTTCAGTCATGTCTACAAAAGCTTGAAATAAACCTTTATGTTCTAATAGAAGCCTTCAAGTCTAAGTATCAACATAGAAGAACTTAGAAAATTATCAAAATAACAGGGACATTGCACACAATGGAGCAAAACCACGGTATATTCACCAGAAAAGCAGCCAAAATAACTGTGTCATTCATTAAATTACCCATTAGTGTTTGTTCATGAAAAGACATTAATCAGAAACCCACATTGCAAGCTACCCAACAGTATTTTCCAATGGTTTGGAAGTACTTATCTCCACAGAATGTAATTTAGCTAATACATACTAGTGAATCTAGTTTTTAATTTATAGTGACTTAATATATCTAGAGGACTTTATTCACAGCACTAGCATTATCTGAAGGAGGCTGGAGAAACCCAATCCTTTAATGTCAGTTTCTCAGTTTAATGTTTTAAGAACTTGTGCTGTTGCCCTGGTTCCCTTCCAGAGCCTCAATGCAGGGTTTTATCATAACAGCATCACTTAAAAGCTTAAGTTCAAGTCCAAGGAGAAGGATCCTGCAGAGAGCAGTGACTGAACAGAGCCACCCATAGGGATGGGTGTAACACTGCTGGCTTACCTGTATATGTTACTGTTCTTAAAGTTGCTGTTTTATAGATATCTGTATAAAACATAAACCAGTCATTAGTAAAGCAATAATGAACACTGTTTTCTCTTCTAATAGCTAAGCACAACACAACAGATAACTTCCTAAGATAAAATCTGCATCAATTAGTTGTATCAGCATAATTCAATCACTGTAGCATAATTCTGGGAACTGCTGAATTCTAGCTGTATCTTGGACTTTTTGAGACCCCAAGCAAGTCATTAAGATGCTGCAATCTGGACATCTAAAAGAAGGAAGAGACCCCAATTTAGTGGGTGTTTGTGCATTTTTTTWAAATGTTTCCCTTGATCTTTGTGCTTTCCTTGTACTGTGTATAAAACAAGTCTAATGATCCATCATCAGTACCTCCTTGGCATGCTGTGGGGATTAGTTAATGACTGCACAGCTCTTTGAAGATGTTCAGGGCTATTTTATTTTTAATTAATGTTTTCCAGTTACTTTGAGCTTCTCTGATGAAAGGGCTTAAAACAAGTGCAAAATATCAGGTGGTTATTAGTCCAACATGCAGGAGGGCAAGACAAGGAAATAAAATCAGACTATGAGGGAAAGGAAGCTTAGCTCCATTTAACAGGCACCTTGGATGTATATGTAAATAATACTCAAAAAATTCAAACGTCATGAGACAAGCATCCTGAATGGCTGGCTCCCAACACATGCAGTGTCCAGAAGTTTTCTGTAGAAATTCTGGGGCAGATCTTTAAGGACTATCAATTATTACAGCTTCCTCATACAACCCTGGCAGTTTGTTCTAGCTGAGGATTGTTTTTTGTATGTTGTGAGCAGATTACTCTTGTCTCCTCCCCAAGGGGCCTACACACTCATGGGATATAGAAGCGGGAGGCAGATCCAGAGAGATTTATTTGCAGAAGTTGTGGACTAAGTTCCCATTAAAATCAGCAGCAAAACTCTATTAATTACCTCTTTGTGCACAATCTTGTAAACAAAAAAGCCCCATGACAGCAGCAAGGTGGTAATAGGATTTCAAAAGATTTGTTAAGATGTGGGTGACAGAACGTTTGCTGAGAATTTTGTTCATTCTTATCTATTGCAAGAAAAAGCCCAGGCCTTTGAAACAAATTTCTATTTATAATGTTCTTTCTTTAATCACTCTTCCCTATTAGGTGAGAATGGCTGAAAAACAAACGCAATTGGGAGCTTATTTAAAGTCAGCAGGAAGTTCTGATAAAAAAAAATGCAGCCCTTGGGAAGTAAAGTACATCTTTTAATTACAAAATGTGAGTGTTTTAACTTGCAAACACTCAGTCATCTAACTGGCACAGTGCTGCCACACCACGATTTATCCAGTGTTTCTGGGGCTTGTTGGAAGGGAGTTCAACTGAGAGAACATAGTTCGTTGAGTGACCGGTAGTGGACAATACACCTCTTCTTGCACTTGTCTTGTACACAGGACATGAATAGATGTTCTCATGCAGAAAGCTGGAACTTTCTCCAGGTTTTAGCCAAATTATGGGCAAAGAATCATAAAGGACTTTTGGAAGCGATTCTCCAATCATTGAGGTTTCTCTATCCCATYGTGCACCTTCCAAAAAAAGGCCTTTTATATACGCCCCGTCTTCTGGCATTTTCTCCATTGTGTGCTCCTGTTTCATCACCTAGAACGATTAAACCATTTGCTTTATTTTCATATGGAGTATACTAAATCCTATAAGTGACAGTATGAAACTATTCCTTTAAGTGTAAGTTCTCTTCATTTAGACACCTTAATCACTGCTGCCTCAGAACGTATCCACCAACACCGTCAAAAAAACCCAAAAGAAACAAGCAAAAAAACACCACTTCGTGGTTTCTTACCTCAWATTCAAATCCAATATGATCAATTGGGATTGTGTATTTTCTAGCATAGTTCTGTGAAACTCCTGTCAAAAAAGACTGAGTGAAGTAGAACCCYGATATCCAGAAGACTGTGGGTGGCCCATGGATGACCCAGTCCTGATTATGGGAGAAAAARCAAACATTAAAAAAAACATACACCAGGGCTTCACCTTGTAAATACACCACAGAAGGGGTGTCTTGTGCTGTGTATAACAGCACAACAAGTCCTCATTCTATACTGATACACATTTTAGCCATTTAGCTCTCAACTACCCATTCCATCAACTGGCCAGTCTCAGCTTAGGATACCTGGAAGAAGGCCAGACGAGAGAGGAGATCAGATATGTAGCTTCCCAGTGGCTTCAGAGATGGATAGGATTTGGCAGCCCACATTGACGGTACTTTCCCCATTAACATGCTATTGAAAACATCTTCAAGTTCAGATGACATTAACACCTGGCCTTTGATGGCTCTGCCTAAGTTCACAAGGCTGCTCCGAACAACTTCTGTAAGCCTACAGAGAGAAAAAAGGAAAGAAATTGCAACCTCATTATTTACTTCCTTTCAATCTGGCAAAAGACCTCGAGTCTGATTTTGAGGGGAATGAAGGGGGTTTATTAAAACTGAAAAATGTCCTGCCAAAAAATTCTTATCATATCTGAAGTTATCAAAATTGTTATTTATCTAGGGAAAAAGAAGAAAACAAAGATTAAAAAAAATYAAAAGGTAGTGAGGTTTGCTCCTTTAGACAAAGGAAATAAATGACAAGATCTTTAAGATTCTGYCACTAGCTAAGATTTTATATTGTAAATATTGGAGACTGGATGACTTAAGAGGAAGAAAGTGCCTTATCTCAACAAAGCAAACTCAAATCTGATTCAAGCTAACACTGTCAGAAYATAGGCTCTATTTCTGCATTCAGCTAGTCAGCTGCAGCTTTTTTTAAAAAGGATTTTCAAAACAGAATCTATTGTGTTAAGAATTTATTATAAAGATTTATAATTGTTTAACCTTTGTGAGCTGCTAGAACTGAGAAACACACACATTTCAGTATTAATAATGCTACACAAAACGTTGAGTCATACCTGTTGAAACGGATCAATTCTTGCCTAAGCACTGTATTCATGGACTCTTCATAACGTACTGGATATTTCTTCATAACCTCTTCAACATTAAAGTCACTTGGTAATTTGGATAGGATGTCCCGTGCCAATTCTTCGACAGTTTCCTGAAATTATAAGTTTGCATTGATGAGCTTTTTCTTAATTATTTCTGCTTTTATTAAATAAATTCATCAGTTCTACATGTCTCATTTTTATTGTGGAAGCACACAGGTATTTTAGTCCATTTCCTAAACAAATAAAGCTTACATGATCATACTCTCTTTGCACATCAACCTGTCTATTTGTGCATGTGCCTTCTTGCTCCTTTCCTTCCCAATGATTTAAAATCTGTGTTGGTARCTTCAGTGTAATTTGCAAAAGGGTTTTAGGCAGCTTTTGAGGAAACAGGCAGCAAGTAGACAAGCATAGTCCTACTACTGCCTCAATGAAGAAAAAGCCAAATTATGCAGCACAGGGCAGTGCTGGGAAGACTACAGAAATACTCAGGCTATGGGAAAGCTTTACTCACTAGCCAACCCCACAGGAAATGACGCTCCATTGGTTCCACTATTCAAAAATCTACATGTATACAAAACCTAGGAAGTCAAATCCTTAAGGGCTTGGAAGGTCATTTATGTATGTCTCACAAGGGCATAGATTTGACCTGAGTGACCCAGGGAACTGCCAGGATAGGATAAGGAAAGAAATTCCCAGCATCTCCAMAAGCAGGATCCATGGAAGTGAAGATGACAGGGAGGGTCAAGGTCCAAGAGATTCCATKCTGCAAACTGCCTCCTTTCTTGGAAGCATACAAATCACTCAAACATAATTACAAGTTTGGGAACTGTAATTCGGTTGAAGAAACTGAAGCAGCAAAAATTGCATCCCAGAAACAGAGCATTCAAGGAATATTAATATAGAGTGGAAGTGCTGTTACAGCCCAGACTTCCCCAGGAAGGATACTTTTGTTTCTAATGACTGTTTATATTGCTTGCCTGAGAGTTGAGTGATTGATGCTATATCCTGACACCCTAGAGTGTGACGCCGACGAGGCTGGCAGGGATACTCATACAACCACTACTGCATGAAGTTAGGCTAGTACATGAACCTCCATTGCTGGAATTTGCTGAGTGGAATTARATGTGATAATATAAAATTTAAGGTGTTTGCCAATTGTCTTCTAACTCAGATTCATGACTGAGATGAAGCACTTCACTGTTACTTCATTGATACAGAGATATGAAAAATACCATCCTGCTCAAACTACATGTTCTGCTCAACCACATGGGATTGCATGGTGTTAACCTATTTGAATTCAAAGTCTTCCATCTATAAAAGTTTTTCCACTCAAAATCTGGCTGGATCCCTACAGGGACATTCATATCTGCTTCCAAACCTACAGTCATATAATTAGAGGTGTTAGATTCCTCTGAAAGCAAAGGCATGGAAACAGAGAGCTTCTTTCTTGGCCTGTTACCTGAGGGGACTTGCCACCTCCCCCTGCTTCTCTAGGCAAAGTCAGGAGCACCCCACTGAAAAGCTGGTTAGTCTCCTGGTTATCCTTGGTAATGTCTGCATTTTCATGAAGCCCAAACACTTCAGGGTGCGTTGTAATTGGTAATCCTCGTAGGAATTCAATGTAAGACTGCAAAAGAAATATTTAGGTACCAAAAGTGATGCAATAGTATGTAAGTGATCAGTRAATACAATCTGTCTTTGGCAGAATGTTCCCATTTACACATAAAAACATACATTCCCAGTTTAAACACTTATAAATTGCCTTGTCCAGTCTACAGAGATAAATATAAACATTTTGAATGGTTCAAAGGCTCACTGAGGATTTGTCCTGACTGATCTCACACTGGCATCAAGCTCATCTGATTTCCTATGCTGACTAATAAACTCTGCTACATTTCATATTACGCTACTGAAATGCATACTGAGTGGATCAGTCTCACACTTTCAGGTTATAYTCATGGGTGGGATTTGAGCACATTCATTACATCCAAGCAGCTGGCAAAAGGGAGAAAGGGGAAGGAAACTGAGGCCAGGGAGTTTGTGTGCTCCTGTATACACCTGCCCTTCCACCTCCTCACCCTGATCTCTGCTACCATGATAGGAGTGGCTTTAAGAGGATGCAGAAGATGTAGCCATTTTCTCCTTACCTCATATGGACCATGTGGTGGTATGTAGTAGTCATCCCCAGGTGCAAGCATATATTTGTCCTGCTCTATATCCTTGTTATAGACTATGGAAAGAAGGGACAGGAGAAGGCGCCGGTCTTTATCATCTGTTACTCTCCCACCATAGTTACATTCCCCTAGGAAAGGAAACAAAATCATAAAAACTGTTTAACGTTAAGGAATAGCTACAGTAAGCTGAAGACCTTCAGATCTTCAAAAACTTTTAGGCACTATACTTCCATTGACTCAACAGATATTAGGTGCTTTAAAACCTTTGGGAATATGGGCCTAATTTGTGTGTCTTCATAGTGAAAGTTATAAGGAACATTCTGAGTTAGTCTGGGAAACTGCTTCTCATAGCACAGTGGAAAACCTCCCTTTTCACACGGCAGCTTGGTTGTTTTAAATGATCTTATTAAGATTTTTTTTTAAGCCAGCCAACATTCAAATCTGAACAGCGCTATATAACAGCTCCTTTTCTCATTCATTTCATGTAGCCACAAAGCTGTTTATACATGTACACAGCTGAAAAGAAGGGATTACAAATATGCAGAACCACTGTGCAGAGAGTTTAGCAACTAGGGGAGACTTTAGCAACTAGGGGACGAATCTCCCCTAGTTGAGCAGGCAACTAGGGGAGATTCGAATCTCCCCTAGTTGAGCAGGCAACTAGGGGAGATTCGTCACTTTACCGAGATCGAGGAAATCAACAGGACTGATATGAAGTGCAGGAAACAGCTAAAAGTTCACAGTTTATTATCTTTTCTCCTCAATCCTGACCTCCAAAATTGTTTTTATGTATGTTTTTATAATATTTAAAAGATCAAAAATTGRGAATCATCTTTATAAGCATGAGAAAGAAGGTGCCAATAATTAGCCGTGCTTCTGAAGAATGAGAACTAAACAGTCACAAAAACAGGTCAACACCTACTGCTTTAACCTGATGAGGATTATCACATCCTCAGTAAATTGCTTACTCCAAGAGGATGCAACATATTGCTCAGCTAAGGTGAAACAGARGCCATGAATGCTTTTATTTGACAAATGTGAAACAAAGACCAAGAGGATGGACCATTAGTAACTCTTCCAGATAAATATAAGCAAAGACAGCAATCACATCTGAGGGCTTTGGATCCAACTTGWCTATATGAGAAAGGCCAAGAAAATAAACCTGAATGGAATCCACTACATTTGTCAAGCATTTATCAATTTATCACTTTATCAGCTGAAAGTGCATAGCATCATGTAAGTGCAACATCTGTACCTGTTAGATATGTCAGAGCTTCAAATGGGATTTCTTCATACTCGTTCAGAAACATCTGGATCTGTCGCATACTGATTCTGAGGTCAGATTCGTTGAACTCATATGGAATATTCCACCCTGTTCAATTCAGAAAAGATTGATTAGGAACAGTGCACTGTACTGATAACCATGTCCAGAAAATGTTGTCAGCATTAGACATCTATTACAGAAAAGAATKTAATAGCTGCCAGACAAGACCTAGATGAAGCCATGGCATTTAGCTAGCTGTGTACTGCACAAGTGACAAGTGACTCTATAACAATTTTTTACCCCAAGGCACAATTGCCATCATGTGCGTTCATTGTTAATGATGTGACAAACATGGATGCTTTGGCCACCAGACAACTGCACATTTAATACAGGAGATGTTACTTTTGCAAATGACCTCTTCGTATCCTACAAAGTCATGGTTTTATTTTGAAGCAATAAATGATTATCTTCCTTCTGGCAGTCTCATGTTTATTCAAACAGGTGTCTGTTAAAACAGAGGCAATAGTTCTCATTCAAAAAGTAACACTTCACCACAGTTACTCCTATCACAAATGCAGAGAGAGGTCAGAATGCAAAGCAGAGAAGTTCACATACACCGACAGAATGTGCAAGTTTTGCACAGTTATAAAATATTTATAATTGTATATAGTTGTACATTTTAAGGAAAATATCAGAATTCTATACAGTTTTCTAAATATGTCTTGATCTTTTAAGATTATATATTAAATTTAATAAAAAATCATACAAACCTTACTGATATATCTTATCTTTTCATTCATATCGTTATGGTCAATACACTGCAACTACATAAATTTCAGTCTCACAGCACACAAACATACGCATTAGCCTTTCTAAAACAAAAGCATACACATAAATAACAAAACCATTCCTGAAAATGACACATTTTTAATGCTGAAAATTAAATAAAATGGCTTTTGATGAATAAATCACTGTGGTGAGTAAAAAGCAAAATAATAAACTAATAATCAGTTACATTTTAGTGTAAATAGTGTATGATACGTTCATTTGGAAGACTATACTTTTTAGTCCTCACCAAGATTAATACTTCAAGCGGCTTCAAAAGTAGCTTTGCCCTAGTAAGAATCAAAGCAGTTAACAGTTTTTACACATTACTCTGTTTTGTGGAATACAGACTTTACTTCGGTATTGCTGTATTCTTATAACAGTAATACTACATTTTTATAGAGGAGATGTAAAAACACATTTTAAAACTCCTAATCTATTTGAAACGACATGCAGAATAATGTAAACCTTACCTAATGGGCCAAAGTTTCTCCTTTCCTGCACAAGTGCATGGAAAAAGCAAAGGCCAAAAAGCATTTTTTGCCACATTTCTGGCTTTTGGCAACTGCTAAAGAACACAGGGTCAGAGATGGGGTCGTTAAGATATGATCGAAGGAGGTTTGCTCTAACCCCCTTAGGAGGCTCATTTGTCATTTTGATGCCATTCTGGAGGATACTAACAGGAAACTTTTCTGATGGATAACTGGTTAACCACAATCTGAAAAGAATAAAAACACATATTGTCATTGTCAAAAAATACCAATACTGACAWATTTTCAGTATCRATCTGCAGAAGACTGAAAGAGTTCTAAAACGCAGGCATAAAGCAAATGATTTTGTAGAGGCAGAAAAGACGGCATCATGATTATGTATCTTTATTTTTTATTGCACATTATACAACATAAATAYCACTCAAAGTTGTTCACACAAAAGATGTACATAGTACTTCTTTCTACTGGTATCTCTGGCAAACAACAAATAGTCATAGAAAAGAGCAAAATGCTTAAATTYCTACCTGAATTTATCATTGGTATTCTCAGGCACTATAACTTCCTCACAGATTTTTTCCAAAGCAGGCATCCAGCTGGTTGCAAGATGGCAGTTCTGCAACACTACCCAGGTTCCATCAGCAATAGCCCGATAAATCATATTTGCTGCTATTGGGCCCTGGCCCTGGCCGAGTGAAATGGTTTGAATGCTTGTGCCTCCCATGCCAAGATCATCAGCAAATTTCAGTAAACCTATGATCGCAAATTTCACACATGCAAAGAAATGCACAGAGGTCAACATACATTTTACTCAGATAATACAAACAATAATCCAGAACTAGTACCAAATGTTGTATCGGTCACTTAGGCATTTTCAAAAATGTAGATGCATAAAACAAAATAAAATGAGATACTAGGCAGGTATCCCCTCCTTCAGTGCTAACTGCTCATTCCCAGCCTTCATTACAGCTCTCTACTCTCTCTGTTTTCCTTGTACAACTGTTGATTGGGTTAGCTGTACACTGCTACTTCAGATCTGGGTTAAAAATAACCCTCTAGCTTTACCATCAAAGCCAGCACCTCCTGAAAATATATTCTTAGAGTGTGATTCCACATTACAATTCTTCTGGCAGAAGAACAGGTTTAAAAATAATCTTGGTGGTTATTTTTTAAAGGACGTTTAACAGAAGTATTTTAAAGTGTTGTCATACACATCATTTCAACAGCACTCAGGAGAGAGGAACCTTTTGGGAGGAGAGGCTGCAGGAACAGCAGGGCAAGTTCCCAAAACCCACTGGCATAATCAGTACATAAGGATGAATCAGAATCTCGCTGGGATGTGAATATCCATTAGACCCCTGGAGACCTGCTCAGAGATGTAGACATTTCATCATCAGCTCATTCACGCCCCCCTCCAGCAATTTTATTATCATTTCAAAAAGACTCATGCAAGTGTTTGAAACAGAAGCTAATACCATCATTGTTGCATCGTACTTTAAAGATAAAATGAAGAATCCTATACTTTAATAAAGTTCAGGCATGTCAATGTCACTTAATCAGATTTTAAAAGGTTTTTAATGCAAATCTCACCTGCCATAGGATCAGCACCTGGTGACAATACAAAAATCAAAGGAGCACAGCAAYTGGAATCATTATAACTTCCTCCGAGGTCAAAAGTAGGTGGTTCAATAAATGTTTTCCCCATATTTTCTATAATGAACATCCGCACTGCTGGAACAATCTTGTCAGGTCTCAGACATCTGAGAACAACCATGCGATCTAGCCCCATTAATGTGTTCCACACATCTGGGAAAGCTTCTTCATGGGGTCTAACGGAGTCATATATCAGCTGCCACTTGGAAGCATTCTCTCTCACGTGTTCCATTAGTCCCTCAAGATTTGTCAGACAAGATGCCCGTACTAGCTCACCCCACGATTTGTCCGATAGCCATTCGGGAGCTGGATTGGGGTGAGGATTATCAAGAGCAACACCCCCTGTCAGCAGAAAGCGCCAAACCTCATCATCTATTTGGTCTTTTCCTTTCATAATCCCTACTGTGAGGAGGAAGGAGAATAACAGTTTATCCTTCTCAAACAGTGAACGACAGACATTATTATAGATGCTTATTGTGAAATGCTCAATTATATTTTCAATTCTCTCCTCCATATCATCGCTCTTTTTGCTATTAGCAATAGACTGGACATACAAGTTAATGAACCAAATCAATGAATACTGATACATAGGTTCAATGTTTGCCAGATCAGAGATGCAGAAGAAGACAATAGCAGAATGAATAGCAACTGGCTTATACCCCATTCGAGTAGAATCTATTTGCATTTCAGTTACAGAAGCAATTTCTTGYTTTTCAGAGATTTCTTCAGATAACTCTTTGGATGAAGACAAAATATTTATTGCTGTTTCATCTTCTAAGATGTTTCCTTCTGACTTTGAAAGAACCTCGAGGATTTTATCTTCTATTTCCTTTAATTGTTTCTTGTTGGCTGCACTTTCTATAATCAGTTTATTTTTCTTTTCTTCTAGCTCAGGCTTTTCCTTTGCAGCCACAATTCCAAGAAGTTGGTCCTGAAGACCCAGAGGTGTAATCATGAAGTTGAGTAAACAAACTTTCACAGCCACCTCAGGAAGATAATGAGGATTTCTTAAACGGGTTGTTATGTAAAACCTGAAATCTCTTGAATATTCAATTGTATTTTCTCCTAACTTCATGTATTCTACTCCTTGCTGTTTGAATGTTAACTTTAATAAAATGGGTTCTAAGAAAGCATCAAGTTCTTCACCAATATTTTCTAGCAAGACTGGTGTTCCAAGTTGAATTGCGTTTTCTAATGTCCTCACATAATTTGTGTCTGATAGTTTGATAACTGAGAGTTTGTTATTTTTCTCCATATTTTTTACCCACTTGTTAGCTTGCCTTTGAGGATCTATCATTAAAGCCCATCTTCTTGAGTTGGAAACAATTAAGCCATTGTCAATGGAAAAAGAATCAATCGGCAATCCAGCAATTTGCCATGCACGAATTTTGACTGGGTCCCCTAGTGTATTACTTAAGCTAAAATCACTGGAGCACGGTATGTTCTTCTCACTGCACAGGACTTGCCATTGCTTTTGACATTCTAGACGATAATCTACGCTGAAGGCTCCCAAATAAGCAACTGTTCCTGAAGACAGCAATACATCTCCTGTAAGATCTATATACCGGATTCCTAACAATCGTGCAGCTTCTGTCCATCTATCTTTTTCTCCACCAAGTCCACTAATTAGCTGTTCAGCTCTTACCAACTTTTCTGAACAGATTTCAATATTATTTTCTAATTCTCTCTTTCGTTCATTCATGCTTTCCAACTCATCATTCAAAGCTTGGAGACGATCAACTACCTTCTTAAGTTCTGCTCGTTTTGTTTTTAGCTTCTGCATTTGAATGTCCAATAACGCTTCTGCCTCTCTTAAACGTTCACGCTTTGGTGCAACCACTTTTGCAACACGATCATACACTTCCATGGCTCGTACCCACTTGCACAGACCTTCACAGGCAGATGATACATTTTTTATGACAGCTGGTTGAAAATCTGGATGACCAATAAACCTTTCTCTAATCCTCTTCATTATAGCAGGAGGAATATTATCCTTGTCATACATCTTTAAGCTCTCAAGGAATTTCAGATCTCCAAGAATTTTTCTAGAAGGTCCCCAGTAGTCTTCCACCATTTTCCCTATATAGCACATAAAGTTAAAATCAGGCTTAAATAATGAATGTTCAAACTGAAAAAGTATTTGAACAAAATATGAAGAACTAATATCAGTGGTTTTACAATAGATTTTTACTATACAACCACTGTCAAATACTTTAAGAAATTCCTTAACTTCAGTAATTCAGACAAGAACATTAACACCAATAATCTATGTTACACAGGAAGCTAGTACACATATCTACTAATTACATACTAATTCTACATCAATCAAATCAAAATAACGGAAAAAAATTCTATAGATTCACTCTTACCTGAGATTATTGAATAAATTAGTAACTGTGTAAAGGGTTTCTTGCTAATCTAAGTAGAATGGTTTGGAATGAAAGACACAATTATAGAAATCTTACTTCAGTTATTAAGGGTTAAAGTGGAATAAAGGATAAAGGGGAATAAGACAGAAAAATGGAAGAAACAAGTCCCTTTCCTTCCCTACATCACGAATCCTGTGCAATACTATAATACTACTACCACAATTGGCACAGAAATAACCAGTTGGAGTAATTATATATCACTGGAGACAGCCAAAATTCTGTCTCCCAATATATGAGATGATGTTTGGTAAACAGCGATGAGAATTTAACATACAGGTGAATGATGCACAGCGCACCTCAAGCTCCTGTGAATCTCAGGATGGGTAAATGTAAGTTGTAGAAGTGACTTTGTGCCCACTAGGAGCATATTATGAAGTGCATGTTACAATACCAAGCAGATGTAATATGTTACAATGTCAAAATAAGTTTTTAGCAATGTTATAAGCATTGTTATAAGTCACTGCTAGCAAGAAAGGCTTTTGGTTTACATGGCTGCATCCACACTAGTAGCAATTCACTAGCGTACAATACAGCAGCACCCCAAGAATTCCTAGCAATATCCTAGCACAAATACCCATCATTACCACTGCCACTTGGATCAGGCTTTCTCTCTGGTTTCATTCCCTTCATGACACAGATACTCTCCATGACAAGCTTAACAGGACCCGGYGGATTCTGCATGGATTTCACAAGAGAGATGTCTGAAGGATTCAGTGTGTCAAGAGCTGCAAGGGCTGCCTCCAAAGCTGGCATGGCCTCAGCAAGGTCTCCTTCACATTCATCCTGTAAAGACATWAAACAGAAAACTGCAAAACTTCATACAAGATCAGATCCATGAGCTGCTTACTCCACCCTTAGAAATTCCCACACAATATTAGCAAACCTTCTGTGCTTGTAAATACCCAATTAAAAGACTCTTTGCACCATTGGGCTTCTTGCACAGACGCCTACTTTCACAATCTGTCTGAGTTTAAAGAGGGAGGGTATGTAAAGAAATGTAGTAACTTCCACTACATGAAGTGACAGCTGAGAAAGCCAGACAAGTTATCAAGTTCAAAGTACCTTCTGGTTTGACAAGGAACAGTAAAATACATGTCAAACAACCGCTCCCACTAAAATCTTATAGTGCTAAATAAGAACATATATCATATAGCTTAAATCCTTTATCATACACAAGCTGCTATTACAGCAGAAGGCAACAGTTATGCCAGACCTCAGCAATTATATCTCACTAGCATAGCCAACTAGTCATGCAAAACACTGAGGAATCCTGCAGCTTACGATGGGAAACTTTGTGCTACAGGCAGCTGCCTGTGGCTATATCTCTTAAGTTACATCTAATAGGGCTCAGTGCTGTGTTTCTCTAAGTTCCCTTACCTAAGTCTGAATCAACAGTCTCAGGGGCTAGAAACAGTGTTACCTCATTACTCAGCCTAATCAGATCTGCTGAGGACATATGAGTACACAAAAAGCTATATAGCTTTGGGTATCTGAACTAGTCTAGGGAGGTTTAGTAAAACACGGTCTTAATTCTATCACAACATTATCCATACAACAACATAACCCATAACAACACTCAAAATGTACTTTGTTTACATTAGGAATAACTCTTGCAAATTTGATACTTGGATCAGTTTGGATAAGTCTATTAATACATCATTACAACTCCAAATTATTTCCAAAAAAAAAAAAAGAAAGTTGGAACCCATTTCATTGCTGGCTTATGCCGTTATAAACTACCTTAATAGCTTTAGCAACAGCTGCAGCTTCATTTGCTTCTTTTTCATCTGCAGACACTAGTTCTTTCTTTGCATCCACTGCAACTGTTTCTTTTTCAACCTGGATCATCATTTTCTCTGTTTCTGCAGAAGTCTGTATGAGTTCAGGCTGAAGGGCAGTCAGTTCTTTCTGCATCTCTACAACCTGATCAACAAAACAGGAAATCAAAAAGTAATGCGTGGAAGCATTTCTCCTTGCTGTCTTAGGAAGAAAAATTAGAGGATACCAAATGAACACAATCTAGAAAGGAACATTTGATCTAAAATAATTATTAAAATTGTGTTCTAGCCTATTTTTACTAATAAGTTGTTTTCATAACCAAAGAGATTAAAAAAATAAAAAATTCACTGTATTTTTTTTTTTTTCCCTCACAGGGAATTTTATTTATGGAACCTAAAATAATAATTTCTCACACAATTGGAGAACCACTCCAGAAGAAACTAGGAAGGGAATACAGAGCTCATGCGAGCAATAGCTTCAGACGGGATGTTCTTCATCTGGCATGTTGGAATGATCCGTTCCTAGGTTGTATGGGTTGAGAAAGAAGAGGTTTCATAGAGGACCTAATCAGCTTCCTACTGGGAATCTACAGAGGAGTTATATTTTGTTTTGAGTAAACAAATAGATTGGTATGCTTCTTTCCTTCTGCATTTGGAGAGTATCATCAATTACCAAGTACCATCTATTAGCTTTCTACTAAAACCACTAATCTTTCTACTAAATCTACCACAGTTACTTAAAATGGCTTATCTTTCCTGGTGGTCTTCTAAGAAAACTGTTAATAGTAAGATGAACATAGTGTAGAGGGAATAAAGACTGCACCTTTAACTAGCTTATGCAGATGCTACACCAAGTACTTACATGCCTTGTATTCAGTTTGCTCAGCTGGAACTTACTTGTGAAGATGCAAAGTCAAGTTTTTGTAGTCCTGTAAGGTAACGGTTTCTCATCCTGTCAACTTCTTGTCTTTTGCTATGTAGTAGAGTCTTAAAGGTGAGAATTAACTCTAAATAAGAAGTGGGTGTTACGTAGTTGTGTCTTCGCAAGGTACTGTAATAGCTGATGGAAAGCTTTCTCACACTTTCTTGGAAATACTTGCACATTGACACAACCCTAGAGAAAATTTATCCTCATTACTATGTAAATACAGACTGTCATTATATTAATTACGAGGAAACTACTCTATGAAATTATGAAAGTGTTAGCAAAGACAGATGTGTTTTTAACTCCATTACAAAAATACTTTGGACAAAATTCTCCCTTCACAGAGTGGCCTGATTTTCAGAAACATGAGTTATTTTGAGTCCAATAAAAAACAAAGAGTTGGCTTAACTTGACCATTTATAAGAATATGATTATGTATGCTTGCTAAATAGGAGATTACCCTCTGCTTCTTATATTTCTTGAGAGATAAACTCATACCCTTTTCTAATGTCATCTTCGAGTTCGACATCTTCTAAAAACTTGTTAGCAACCATTTCTAAAGCATCTGTAGGCCAGGTTTGGAACCAATCAATGGTGCAGCAGTTTATCAGTGAAGGGAACATTCTTAACCGATTCCTGAATGCATTTCCAATAGGGCTCATTGCTAAAAAAAAAGAAAAAAAAAAAGAAAGAAGAAGAAAAAAATCATAATTGTTATCTAAGTTTGCTTGCAATTAGGAACCAACAAAAATTACTCTAAGAAATTACATATTATACAGACCTAAGACAATATGCAAATTTTTCTTCACCCTTTCAGTGAAGAAATTGTACATAGCAAGGGGAGTGGCTTCAATTTTCCTGTTCTCTGTCCTTGCTGCACTTTGCATTTTCTCTACAATATCAGCTTTCTCATCAGCTGCAAAGATGTTAGGCACATCACCAGTATTTAAAAGCATGTTGATATCTTCTACAAACGCTTCATCCTTTATTTGGTTATCACAGAACAAAAACGAGACATTCTTGTTGGCAACACCAGCTTTCAGCAGGACTCGTTTTACATCCTCTTTCCATTCATTTATTCCATAGGATTTTGTAATTTCAATTTGAAAGAGGTCAAAGCTATTCATGTAGGTGGCAAGCTTGGTAGCACTTTGTCGACCACTCCCACCAATTCCCACCAGCAGCAGATGCCCATTGTCCTGCTTCAGTACTCTACATATCCTAGAGATATGCTCAATAGCAAATTTGAACATGACCAAGGACATTGGTGCTTTGCTGACATTGTTGTACTCCTCAAGGTAGTACTCCATCACGGTCGTCAGTTGCTTTAAGTTTGTGATTTCATCATACACTTTTACAGTACTGTCCGGTTTCAAATAGTCTCCAAAGAACAGGCTGCGAATATTATCATCAGAGATCTTTCCGGTAGGTGAGAGATGACTCAGTACCTACAGAAAAGACAAGAATCATCAGATAATTCAGACTATAATAGAGTTATTTTCCTTAAAGTAATAACCATCCTTATCCACCTAGTAATAGTACTGTGGGAAGCACTCTTTTTCAACTATTCTAGTTATTACCTTGTCTTAAAAAAAATCCAATATGCTGCAAGTTTCTACCTGTGCGTATCTCTCAGAGTGATTTTGCTGTCAAATATAGGACAAGTTCCCCAAAGGATTCTCAGAAAGTACCCATTACTCCCATGAGCTCTTTCAAATTCTAAGTTAAGCAAGAGAACAGATAAATATTGTGTAAGACATGTATTCAAGACAGTCCTCTGTACCTACACGGAATCCTTCTGAAGCCATGAGTCATTCCTACATGGAGTAATTTGTACTAACTTGCCTACGAATAAATATAATACAAAAACAAATAGAAGCCCACTTTGTAAACGGAAAGCATTCAAAATGTGCCCAATACTAATACAATATCAATTGTCTAAATATTTCTGAAAATGTGTGAGTCTCATTCTTGGGCCCATCACATTACTCCAAAATACCTTATCCATGCTCTGCTTGAAGTTATTTGATACTGTCTCTTTTACCATCTGAAAAAACACCTTTCTGTCCTCTTGATCAACTAAGCGATCATAGAAAACTCGGTAAACCTCATGAATCCAAAGTCTGATCAGCTTATCTCCATCCTGAAAATGTAAAACAAGAAAATAGATAAATATAGTACAGGCAGAATTTGTCTGAAAGTAAAAGGATGCAAGTGTCCATCTGGACCCAGATATATCTTGTACTAAGCTCAGTGGGAACCTTTCAGCTTTAAGCCATTCAGCACATGGCTCAGCATCTGCTAACCTAACTAGCTTCCTCACCTAATGACCACCTTATCTTTCCTGCCAATACAGTCTTGGACACTTACGTTAAAGCATTTTTCTCTACTGTATCAACTTCCCCCCARTATAAAGAATATATCTTCCTATGGCATGGCTCATGGGCTCAAACCTAGCCTAGCTCAAACTCAGCTGCTGGCTAAGATGGTCCCTGAACAGTTTGTAGACACTTCTGTTTCTGCAACAGAAATATTCTCCCTGGTAGAAGTAAATCTTTTAATACTTGTTTAATAGCCATTTTAGTGTAAACAGATTTAAAAAATTGAAGGATAAAAGTCACACATCTGTCAGTATTTATTTCTGGTTTGTGATGACAGAAAGAAGCTTTTTCAGGGCCACATTATTCAGTGTTCTTCACTGATTCCCATTTGTAAAATGGAGAAAATAAATCTTTTTCTCACTTCTTTTTTCTTTTGCATATTTAGTTTTTAAGTGCAAGAGATGAGAATGTATAATTTGCACAGGTCTTAACCGGTGGAATTTGGTGATTAGGTCCAGTCATAATATATATAAATAATACTAACGAAAATGACAGTCACTTTATAGACAGACAAAAAGTAAAGTGCAACGTATTCAAGAGCTATCCTGATTTTTATAATCTGTAAATATGTATGTATACATACACACATATATGTATATAAATAAAATCACAGTTCATGTATGAAGTATTTGTTTACTAATATTAAACCAATAATTTTAATTTATCTATTGTTCTTTCTTACAGGAACATAGTGAAAAAGGAGCTTACTTGCAAGTGAGTGTGTGGACAGAGCAGCACTCCTTTAATAACCCGGGAAAAATCTCGTAGATTAAAGACATAATGTGATTTGGAAGGAGTTGGGAGAAAATTCTCAACTGCCAGCTTATAAATGGCCATTGTAGCATGGACCATCATCTTGCTTAGCCTTAAAAGAGAAAAAGGGATACAATTATGAGATCTGCAGAGAAATTACAGGAGAAAATATAACAAACATGTTACACATTTGTACAGGAAATGTACACATTTGTACAGGAAATGTACACATTTACCTTAGAAACACAGACTCAAAGCCTTTGCTGAAGTGCCAGTCAGCAATTGCAGTAAAAATCTTGGCTAATACATCATCATCAAAAGAACAAATAGATATAAGATTCAAGTGTCGTGTGAAGCGTCCTGTAACACACAGAAAAACATGCAGAAGGATCTAGGAATGTTCAAGCTTTTCTCTGCCTTACAGCTAGCATTTGTCTAGGACTGACTCTCACAAGAGGTGAATTCAACACTTGATTCAGGCTCTAGCTCCAGGATTTTGTTGCTGGCAAATTTTTACAACAGCAGTGATACAAAATGAACATAAACTCATTCATATTTTGGGCCAGCATTTCTTTTAGAAGAACTTCTGTTTTTAATACAGAAGAAGTGAATCTCCATCATTTGAAGGTGGTTCCTACACAAATAAAAATTTCAGTTCACATTAGCCCAGTTGGTCAAGATATGGCACAGTAAAACTTCACAAAAGAGCTACCTTGTTCTCAGTTTCAGTTTAAAAGAATCTAGTCTATATACTAGCAGATTTCACACTTTTAGCTGTATCAGAAAAGCTATTTTAATGAAGTCTCCTCAAAGCACAGCTGTAGAGTGTTTATATAAACCAAAGTAAGTTATGCTAGCATTAAGTGCTTTATAACAGTATAGCTCTTACAGCATTACAGCTTTACGGATACAACTTTTACATTAAAAAGAACCACCTCCCTTATGCTGACATGACAGGAACCAAGGACTTGCAGAGAACAGGCTTCCCCTGCAGAAAGTACAGACAGCCTTGCTTAGCAGCAGGAGATCTAGTTTCAGATGAGAAATGACACGGCAGTCAGACAGATCTAGGAAGATGTGTTCTGTTCCCTTGTCAAAGGGAAGAAAGTGGGAAACGTATCCAAGTTCTCAAAGCTTAGTATTATTTCCATCTTTTTATCTGTAGTATTATGTGTGGCAGCTAAAGCAAAATCAAGCCTGCCTCTCAACTTCAGTCACTTAGATAACTATTTGCCATCATAATATATTTTTTTCTCTCATGTTTACATATGCTTTGTACTATACTTTATAGATTTCCTACCTGTAATATCATTCCTGCCTCCCCCAGGTGGGCCCATGGCTGAAACAAGCAGAACATCTATGATATTAATCTTGGATGTATCTTTCTTGTCATACCAGTGACCATGATCAACCCACTGTCTGAGAAGTTCTATAGGTGGCTGGGCTCCATACACTTCCTTTGCAGGCATGTTCAGGTCGTCTACAGAGGACAGAGGTATTGAGGACATAACCCTCAGTGCTTAGAAACTGTATCTTATAAATCTACAAAGAAAAAAACAACTCAACTAGAGGTATAAGAGGTTATTTCCTGTTACTTTCTCTTCTCATTGAAATAATGATAAACAAATCAAAAAAGAAATCAGGCAGACTAAGATACAGTTGATGGTTTAACTTCATTTTTTTGTTGTTGTTTTGTTTTGTTTTTTGGTTTTGTTATTTTCATTTCAGGTCACATTGCAACACATTTTAAATGAGTCAAAGAACAACAATATTCTGAAGATGAGCATCATTTAACCAAATAGAAACCTTTCAGCAGGAGTGCTAATCCTCCTCTGGGTGTACCCAAAAAAAACCAGAAAGCACAGATTAAAAGCAAAATTATTAGTCTGTGAGTTGCTTCCTTTGCCTAATGCCAGCATTTAAATTATGTAAAAACATGAAAAAAAGTCTTACCCACAAATAATATAGCCTTTTTTCCTGCAGGAGGCCCAAATAATCCTTTTCTTCTTCTGTCCAGCTTAGACATAATAATATCCTGAGTTTGAGTAGCAGAGGTTCTTGCAGAGAAGTTGATGAAGCTTGGGATGTATTTCTCCTTTGGAAGTTGTAGCAGAAAATTATTTGTGATAGCTGATTTTCCAGTGCCGGTGGGACCGACAAAAAGCAAAGGGACATCGTGCTCCACATATGTTTTAAGAAAAAACATTTGTCTGGCAGTTTCCATTGTTGGAATGATTAGATCAGACACCTGTTATATATGGAAATAAACCAGCACATGGAAATCAAACACCCCAAACCACATGGTTTTATAAATAAATCATTTTGACAAATAATTATTGACTATAACGAAAAATATCCATGTGAACCTTAGCTGCGGGGGAGATAACTTGCTCTTCTTTAGAGATGTAATCAGTCCACAGGTTCCACTGCCCACTGCCATGCTTGTGAAAATAAAAGTCAAAAACACTTCCTGTTAATCAAAAAAAAAAAAAAAAAAAAAGGAATTTACAGATTAATAATAAATTCCTATCTTTCTATTGCATGAAGTTCTGAAATTTTACTCCTTACTTCTTTTCATCCCTCAGTTAAAAATAACTTCAGTGTATTGACACTATGGCCTTTTAAACAGTCTACCCTTGTGACCTAATGAAGACCTTCCAGCCCAAGAGACGATCCCTCACTCACTGCCGTTATTATCTAGAAATTATTTTAGGGCTGACTCAGCTACATTGAGTGCAGTCTGAGGCATATGCTACTCCTGGTTGAAACAGCAGGGAAAAACATTCAACTGTGCAGCTCAAGGCTTGGCAAATGGCAGCTCTGCTGTGGAGTTAACATCTGCCAGGGATCCCTTACAGTGCCAATTTTTCTCATTATGTTATAAAGAATCAAGAAAGTTACGAGGAAGTACCTTTTTCTGGGAAGATATTGTTTCTGGTGAGCTTCACACTTTTGGGGCGTGGGTTTCCATCATCCATTCCCAATAGCAAGTTGCGGTAAAATAAATCAAATTTTTTTCTGCTGTCTGCATCAATGGTCCCAGCAACTGTCCAAACCAAAGCAAAAAGGAAAAGCCCTTGCAGCCACAAGAAGATCTGTTGACTAGACATGCTTTCTTCCTCGTCTTCATCATTTTTCTTTATTTCATCTAAAATACATATTTTGAACTTCAGTTAAACGCCATAAGCATGAATAAGCATAATGCAATTGGCATTTGGCAAAAGCTATTGAGACAGAGCTAGAGCATTGCCTTCACTGAAGCAAAGGCAATCTACAGAGAACGATGACTTCATATTCACCAGATATATAAAATATTCTCTCTAAATATAAATAAATGACAAGGAAAGTTAATTACAAAGTTTTTTTTTTTTTTCTGCAAACTATAAGCAAACCATGCAATACACTCACAAGATCATGTTCCATTTTGTTAGGACAGTGATACACAAACAATAAAGGTCTATATGGTAGTTAAAGTGCTATTATTTATGCTGTGCAGTGAGAAAGGACATGTGTCTTCTGATCTCAAGCAGTAAACAATTTCTTTGGGTTTTCCTTGCATCTGATGGCATGTGTTTGTTATAGGACATACAAGGAAAAAAATAAAATTTGAAATAAAAAGAAAAATGCTTAGAGTACTTACCAAGTAGACAAGTATAGAGTTTCATCATGCTGTAACTCAAATGAATAGAGGAAGTTTGGACTATGACTTTGCAATGATGGTGAATAAAGTCTAAACAGGGCTCGACTAACCACATAAACATGTCATTGACCTGCCAGGAGAAAAGAAACGGTTTTAAAAGCATGTAGAATTTTGTATATGTTTGACTGCCACTCATACTCTCTCAGTAAAACATAAGGCATCAGAAATTCTCCTTGAGTTGACAGAGGGGAGATCAGGAAAGGACATACATGAGACACTAAAGAAGCAATCAAAAAGCCACATTATCATTTTCTGACAATGGAAAATTGTGGCTTCTGCCACAGAGAAGTTTTCACCAGGAATTTTGTTATCCACTTATTCATCTAGACAGCAGCTTCTGCCAAGGGAGACTGCTGTTCTGCTCAGGCAACAAGAAAAAATATTCCAATGGAAACAAAAACTTCATAATTTCTTAGAAAGCAGTGGCCTCTACTGAGGACCAGCTTAGACACTGTTCTGCAACAGGAGTTCCAGACGCTGACTGGTACCTGTGGGAGCTCCACAGCATGCAGGGCAGTAATAACCAAGGCTGATGGCATCTGCTCCATGGACTGAAGTGGGAGAACTGGAAAGGAATCATGACCCAGACCCATCCCAGTGCACTAAAAGGGCAATTATTTAACGGCTAAGAAAAACTATTTTGCTTCAGTTAACTAAGAAGACTACTTCAATAAAGACTTCCTGTTCCTACTTCTCCTGAATTTGGTCCCAAATGCCTGCAAAAATTCAAAGGGGTCCTGTCAGATCACAGAAATGAAAGCTTTTTCCAGCTCTAATTCTACTGATTTTTCAGTAGATGGGGTCTGATTCTTTTACTGTATTTTAAAGGCTCAATAAATAGAAATTTTTCTCTTGAAAAGATTAAAAGCTGATTGATTCCCACTACATATGGTTCTGTTTTTATTTACACTGAAAATACGGTATAACTCACAACACAAAGATGCCTCATTCATGCAAGCAATCCAGCTCACGAAGGATGAATTAGCAGAGATTACTGAAGCGAGTAAGGCTTTTCAGATTAAGTGCTTAAGGAAAATGATCTTATTATAAGCCTTTCTCAAGCTATAATCTAAATGTCTCAAGCAGAAAGATAAGTTCAAAAATTTTCTAATCTTTCATTCTTTAACAAATTTTCTTTCAAGTACCTGTGACCTGTAGCAAAACCTGACATTCATTATTATAACATAATTTACCACAGCCTCTAGGAGAGCTTGGACCTCTTAGGTAATGAATGTACTTCACAATTTTGATCCTAAATGCCTGTTTTCAAGTCAGCAGTGTAAGGAAACTGTCTTTTAAATGAAACCTATGCGAAAAACTAAGGTTCGCACCAGCTCTCGGTGTTCCTCCTGCAGGTTGGGAGGCAGTGTATCCATGTAGGAATCCTTCAGTGGCTTCCAGCCTAACTGCTGTGGGTCCATATAGATCATACCACACCTGGGAAGAACAAACAATCATGGTACTGGAAGAGATGTTCAAGGTGGCATAGTTCAAACTTGAGTGCTTTCATATTACCTGCTGACAGTTGCAGGAGATGCCTCCTCTAAGTCTGCTGGTTCAAAGATTAAACTCATTTTTGAATTCATCTGAATTATTTCACCACTCATTAAGCACAGCTAGAAGGAAAGCAGCACGCAAACATGATTTAGTCATGTCACTGCAGATCATTCAGGGAAAGCAATGCTTGTCATAAAATCACTGAACATCCTACTTAGTGTCACTTCTCATTCACTCATTCATGTTCTCATAGCATGTGATATTTTCTGACCTTGTCTCAACTTTTCCATGCATTATTGTAATGGCTGGCAGAGACAGGGAGAACGCTGCTAAATCCTTAGTAAAAGCAGCAACAACTTGCAGCCTTTTTTGTTAATTTATTCATTAAGTAATTTAAGAAACTTCAGTTGTCAGTTACAGAGCTACATTTATGATTTCTGTTTCCCAAAAGGGACAGTAAACAAGCCACACTAAATAACCTCACTTCAATGAAGTAGGAGCAAGACAAGGCTTCTAAGGTCTTCTTGTAAGTAATAGCCTAACAACCTCTATCAGACCAAGTGATATAACTGGAGGAAAAAAGAAAAACAAGCTTTCAGTCATACAAAACTCTCTCCCCACCTCATTTTAAAAGCCCTGGATCATCATAGTCACAATACTGCTGTTCCTAAAATATAGTCCAAGTATCAGGTAACTGGCAAAAATTAGGCTACCTTTTTATTATCATCCAGCACAGTGTTCATGTTCTCTATCCAAACTGCATCCACTGGGCCATCAAATATAATCCACTTCCGATCATCTGTGGTAGAAGAAGCTTGTTCCCTAAAGGCATTTGCAAGAACTCCATCTGTCCACTCATGACTTACAGGATCAAAACTGCCATACAATTGTCCCATAGAAATTGCTTTGGGATTAATAATTCTATATTCAACAGCAAATTCATCCATGCATTTCGCTGTGTAAGAAGACAAACTGGTTAGCTTGAGAAAGCTGAAAAGTTAGTTTCATTCATGAGCAACAACAAAGGACATTTGGAAGTTAGAAAGCTAGATAGCTGTAAATAAGAACTTTTACTTGTACAAGGAAAGGGCAAAGTGCTGTGTGCAGAAGTACTTGAAAAGAGGAAGAGCAGAAGAGATTTTATTCCTTTATGAGAGCTACCTACAATCTCCTCTGAGGGTAGATCTCTTCAGTGAATTGACATTATCTTTACTTAGTCATTTTTCAGGAAGGTCAAACACTTAAAATGCTATTATCTGATGAGAATAAACAAGAATATTGGATCTAGTTTTGCAAGAGTATGATACACCAATGCAACAATTAGCAAAATCCATAAAAGCATTAATATGCTTTCTTATATCAACTGAAGAAAAAATTAATTCAAAAAATTGAAATTTCCCATTAGAAAAAGCAGAATAAACCAGATTATAATCTTTGCAAAGAACATAGAATTAACTTCATTTAAGTAGAAGTTTGTTACCTGCATACAAATCACCAAGGGCTCCAGCTAGAACTTTATATGCACAGGTCTTCCCACCCAAGGGATCTCCAACAATCATGAAACCATGTCGCACCAACATCATTTCATATATCTGTAGCAGTGACAAGAGATTTTTTTTTTTTATTAACAGAACACAGAAGCAAGCATAATGTGTACAAAATACACGTATCTTGCCTGCACTCAGATGCAGCAGGACAAAATATCATCTAAACACTTGCATTACGTTAAGGCTTGTCTAAGTGTTGGCCTAAATTAGAGTGCAGTCAAACTATTAGGACAATTCATGCACTGGAATTTAAGTCTTTGCCCTCATTTGGTCTCTTTCTTACCTTACTAGGGATCATCCCTCAACTGTGATAGAGTTAAATTTTCAGGAGCTGAGCACACTCATCAGTCACTGTTGCCCAATGTACAAGCATAAACAGAAATCAATGATTATCAGTGATAACCAGGGATGTGAACTACAGTTCTCAGGATGTGAGGTAACCCAGTCCCATCTAGGATGCTCTTAGACTGCAAGGCTGGTAACTTCAGTTTTACCAACAGAAGTTGCCAGAACTCAAGTTAAAGCCTTCAGATAGAGTATTTTGTACTTTCCTCAACCTAAGAATGGACCCGTTTTTTCTTAATTCAGTTCAATCTTACACCAGAAAAAYGCACCAGTCAAACCACAAATAACTTTCCTCTCCTGCTCAACCTGAATAAATTAATGCAGTCCCCTAAGAAGATATTCTTTATCCTACATTAAATTCCAAGTCAGCTCACAATGCTCTGTTTAAAAGAAAGGTAAAACATGCTTTGTAAAGCAGTATAAGTCAGCTTAATTTCTTTGCAGGGGTCCCACATAATCCTGTTCCRGCCCACGTATTTATGCCCTTTCCATTACAGTGGCACTAGGCTRTGTTACTTGTAAAAATGAAAAATTAATCATTCCTTAAAGCTCACCAACACTGGCACATGGGAGGCAAAGCGAACACAGTAAAGGACAAGTGAGGGCGAGAAATGTCACCCCTTTCAAGTCTTCTCATCGAGACTGTCAGTAGGTCCAGGAACACAGCCTGAGTCAATCCAGCCTCGTGTGTTAAGAGATTCAGTTTAAATTCTACTCTGAACCAGATGACCTAAGATGTGGCTAATTCCTACCCAGGAACCTCCTAGCTATATAGCCCCCTAGGTTAATTCCTTTACAGACTATCTGACTTCGGAAATCATTGTGATCAAAGTAGACTTTAATTCCATGATTTTTTTCTCAGGAAACATAGGCTGTCTGTAATGTCATATTAATTGCTCATTTAAACTATTAAATCTTTCATTCATGACATAACCAGAGAGTCAATTTAAAAAGTTTCTTAATCATCTCTTCACACTTTTTTTTTTCCTCCTCACAAGTAGACTTGTGAAAACAAACCTGAATAATTTTTCCAATGAACCACGGAACCGGTTGCAGATTCATCTTTTTTATATTTTTATTTAATGCGTYGACAAACAGTTCATAGTCTGGTGTAGGAAGAACCACTCCAGGGAACAGGTCAGATATAATACCCTGTTAAAGAAAGATGGACTACAACACTATTTAAATACAGATTACAAAAAGATAGAACTTCCAAAGCATAAAAATCTACAAGGAAAACAAAACTCTTCTAGGTAATAGGAACTGAAGATGAAATGCCTTCAGCAGGACCAAATTAACTTCCAGGCACAAACTGTAGTCATGGAAGTGGATCTTTCCTGAGAAATAATTCAACAGTTGTGCTTCTAAAGAACTTGTTGACGTCTTCCATCAACTATGGTAAATGTATCCTCTATTGCACGAGAGAGAAACCCTATGTTTTTCATATATATGCTGATACTGTAAAAGGAAGCTTATCTTTCTGCAATTTTTCCCCAAAATGTATTATGGGAAAGGATGAGTAAATGGCTGGAAGAATTTAAATGATCGAATAGAAAGGTACATTCTCTCCCTGATTCAGAGCAGTGACTATGCACATGCATGTTCTTGGACCCTATGTTTGAGTTCTTTAAAAYAGTACTGACTGCTCCACAGCTTAATATTCATTTTTCTCTACAGGAGCCGCACAGAAGCAGAAATTCCACTCTTTTCAGCCTGCCTTCAAATATCTAATTGCTATCACTTAGGCTGCCCATGTATTTTTTGCAATACAAAGCTAGATTGCAAACTGCAAAGAATAGTTTCCACTGATGAAACAGAAATGACATTTTAGCAAAATACTATATATAACATTTCACAGTCTAATTCAAATGTCACCACTAAAAGCTTGTTTTTCAAAACAGTACTAACTGAACCAAAGAGTATCCTCAGCTAGATCAGTGGAATTAAAGAACAATACACTAACAGGACAGCATTTGAATCAAACTGTCCTAAATGAAGACAAGGATTTGCTTCTGTCGATTACTGTAAGAACATTCAAAAGAATCCTTAGTGAAATACCACACACTTCAGGACAGGCACCCACCCACCTGAGAGCTTACCTGAAACAAAGGCACATCCTGTGCCAGGAATTTGGCCAAGTTAACATCCAGCAAAGCCCGAAGTAACAGTACACTTTCATTTTCAATTGGGTACTTCAGTTTTAAGTTTCCTGCTGCTGTCAGGACAGATTTGACAGCACGCATTCCATAATCATAGTGATGCTGAGATGACAGCTGCTCGGAGCACAGCCGGTAAGTGGCAACAATTTTCTGGGCAAGACTGTGGGTATTAAAAATATATATCTATATATATCTAAATATATAACAGACATAGAATGAAAATATCTAACCAAGCAAACAAAATACTTAAAATACTTAATTGAACGCACAATGTCAAYGGAGTGACCACCAGATAAGCCGAGAAAAATCTCTTAAAAGCAAAACTGTAGCCTATGAAGTGCTAGAGAATTTGTGTGCAGTTTAACTCTGCTTGCAATTACAATACATCTTCTCAATGGTTTGGTGTAGAGGTATGTATCTGTCAATATCAGGTGGTAAATGAGGATTGATGATTAAACAAGAGATTAAAAAGTATTTTCTGGAGAAATGCAGCAGGGAAAGCCTCCTGGAATCATGTTTACAACATCCATATCGTCATGCGTTCCTTGTAGAAGAATGAGAAGTATTTCAGACTCAAGCAATGTGGAAAATTCTGTGAGTCTTACCTCCGAGAATCTAAAAATCCCATTGAATATAGTGAGATTTCTCCAATCAAAGCATAATCTGGAACCATCATAGCAACTGTTCGGAATAATGCCTGTAAGAAAATAATGAGACAAGCTTAGCCTATGAAATATGGTAACAACTTGTGCTTGTTATGTGACAATAGCAGTTCTTCTGAAATCAGGGTTCCAGATTTACCTTCAGATTATCAGGCAACTCTGCCCGTCCAGCGTAACCAGGATTCATAGTGATAAACACAGCACAGGTGGGATTAAGAGAGATCTCTGTGCCTTCAAAGATGAATGTTTTGAGCTTGCGAATAATAGCTTGCTGTATACTAAGTATTTGTTGTGCAACTACAGACAATACTTCAACCTAGTAAAAACAAAACAGATTATAAAACATAAAACATCTGGAGATAATGCTCCAGATAAAGCTAAAAATGCTTTTTATTTATATACTTTGATTGAATTTCTCCTATTAAAAAATCATCCTGTGTTTAGATCCAGTCTCATAACTTACTCTAAACGCTAGGTATCCACAAAGGCAAACCTCTGAAAGTCAGTGCTCCCATTGCCCATTCAACCAGTGCACAGAGGTCAACAGAGGATTCTGAAAGCCTTCAAAGGCAAATCTCATCTGCCTGAATGTAGATATCTAAACTAGGTGGACAGGAACTCCCTCTGGAGGCCTGCTAATGCACTTTCCTCTTACTTCCAACTGTATGAGGAAATTAGACTCATCAGAAAGACTGATTCACTCAGTACCTAGAATTTAGGGGTGAAGTAAAAACTGAGTGAGTCAGGGGACAGCCAGCCTTCAGTGCCTCAAAATACCAGSATAACAGAATACTGGAAACAGAGAACACTGACACTTGAGTTCATAAAAAAAACTAAACAGGCCACGGCAGATAAATGCAATGGAAAAATGAATCTTYTTGGAAAATGAATATGTCGAGGATATTGAAGTATTGAAAACATATAAACTTAATGGAATTTCCAAACATATTGATATTGACTTAAATACAATTCCATGAAAATAAGAATAAAACATATTGAAAATGATTAGTGACTAAGCTTTAAAATAAAAATCAAAACAAGATCAAGTTTGGGATTGGACTGTGTCTGGTTACTCAGCTAGTTAGCCAGGTCACTCAGTTAGCGACACGCAGCTAGCCATCACTGGGGTTTGCCTGTCTTGTGTGGGAAAGAGACAAATGCAGCCCCACAGTTACGACTTGAGAAAGGAAGAGAAGGACAATCCCCTTCAATCCTTTCCAATCTTATTAACTCTCAGTCAAGTGCCCACATAAAAGAGAGGAAAAGAGATAAAAAAGTACAGTCCTGCATCTTAACTAGCCCTGCATCTTAAATTAAAGCTTTGTCACTTTATCTCTCACAGTTAAAAAGTTACCTCAATTCTGTTGAATTCATCAAAGCAGGACCATGCACCAGACTGTGCCAGCCCCTTGAAGAACTTGCCCATTGCTTTGTAATCAAGACCATCTGAGCAATTAAAGACCACGCACTATAACAAAAACACACAGAGAACGTCTCTTAGTATTAGCACAATATAACATTCTTAGCATCTAAAATGAGCAGTGATTATTATTGCTAATTTGGGATGTTAGCAATAGTACAGACATAGTCCTAAATGTGAACACCCTATAACAATGTCTGGGATAAAATGTAAAGAACACTGGTACTTTCTCATGAATAGCACTTCAGGAAATACCCACATTTCCAAACACAAACAGTCCAAAGAAGAATATCTCTATTTTGATACCTGCTTAGCAAGTGCTTTTGCTAGATCTTTTGTTGTTTCTGTTTTGCCAGTGCCAGCAGGTCCTTCTGGAGCACCACCAAGACTTAGTTTCAAGGCACCCATTAATGTCCTACACAGACAATTACACATACATTAGAAATCCAGAGTCTCTTATGGTAGATTGTTTGTAATGACTTCACATCTTGCCCTATCAAAACAGTATTCACAGACAACATGGCTTTACCTATAACATCGATCTGTCAGTGGGGTTATAACCAGGCGTAGAGAATTGCCCAGATACTCATATCCATATTTGGCTTCTGTTGTAATCATTCGCACCATTACATTCTTATCTTCCCAGTAATATCTCAGCTGAGAAATCCACTGGAAGTCATTAAGATCTGTGATTTTGTCTTCAGCCAATTTTGCAACCACATCACGAGCTGCAGAATAAGAGACAGCTTATTAAAAAACCCAAACCCATATACGATTCTAAAAGTTAATTTACTCAAAATAATGTTTACATAAAACAAATCTAAATCTAACTAAATCAACATTGAGTAAAACAACATTTAGCACAGTAGGCTGATTTTCATTCCAGAAAGAAAGATGCATCTGCTCTGTTTAGGGAATCATATTAATTKGATCTAGATTATGGTGCTTCCTCTAAAGCACAGGAGAGAACTGTGTAGGATTGAACAATAATCCATCAGYCTAAAGAAGCTCTGCAATCACTCTCTAAAGGTTGCTTAAAGCTAAAGGAGCCTATATGGGATGCTTGCATCCCACTACTGCAGGAGGAAAATTAAATGTCTTCAGTTAAATACTTGGTAGAGACATGGACCAAGGGTTAAAGGTGCCATTTTCTTTTTCCTCCAGTAGAGGTAAAAGAGCAGCTATACTGCTTCTAGTAGGTTTACTCTAGTAGGGAGATTCCAAATACAAGGAGCACATTTACCATGCACATCGATGACAGTAAGAGCTCCAAGAGTCAGCCGAGCTCCACTGGACAGCTTTCCTCTCACTAACTCAACGATGTCTGCAATTTGTAGATTGCTCTTCTCCAAGAAATCCTGTCACAGAAGGAGGACACAGGCGTTAATGTAATGCTGCAGCTACTATTTCCTAACCTCCCATGGGAGCAGTCATTATAGCCTGCCCTACCAACAAAACAGAGTAATGGAATCCCCAGCCCTACACATGCACGTACCTTCTCCTTCAATATATTGCCACTTTAGTTTACTAGAAACACATAAAAAAAAGCTTTATGGTGTGAAAGAAAAGGAAGCAGAAGCTTTTTATTTCTTYCTAGTAGAAAAGACAAAATTCTGTGATGGAAGATGTGGAGAYTGTCTCCATTGTGTAGATCTGGCTCAGATTTGCTTTTAAAACCAACATTCAGCAAATTGAAGATTTCCTAATTTTACCATAATTATTTGGAATTACTTTCTCAGAAGTAAAGAAATGACAAAGCCACTTAAAATGCACAAGGAAAAACCCTCACACAAAATAACAACCTTAGTTGCTATATTTTTATAATAAGGAGAATCTAGCACAGCCAGSCAAATAACTGCACCATCCTACTAAAAGAGACTTCCTGCCTGCTGGCTCCCCTGGCTTCAAATGTAAAGACAGGAGTTGCAGATAAAAATATCTAGTGTTTGACAACAGTTTATAACTTTTTGATGTTTATAATTTTTATTTATACCAGTAACATCTTGTAAATCCTTCTGTGAAACTACTAATTTACACAGAAGTAAATAAGAATGTGTCCCTGCTAAGAAATAAGAAAAAAAAATACTGTGAGCTAAYTGTAATATGCTCTTGAAAGAGGGTTTTCTTCATTAGATTATTATTAATAGCACTAAACACTGGTTGATTAATAAAAGGTGAAAGATAATGTTACCAGTAAAGTTCCCTTGCTTATAGCTTCAGACACTTCTTTTGTCCAGTAAATGGATGAAACACAAATAACCACTTGTCCAGGCCACTGAAGCACCCATTCTTTCCGAGGAACCTTAAAAAGAAAACAAAACAAATTAAGAAAAAAAWCCATTCCAGACAGAGAAAGCCATGCAAACACACTAGAAAACAGCATTCATAATTTTTTTCTCCAAAGCTTTATTATTTTTTTTTAAGTCTGAGGCAAAAAAAAAGATAAGAAATAAGAAAGGYAGTTAACTTTCCTTCAAGAAATTCAGATGTAACACTTTAATTGTATGCTACCAGAGAGGGATATCTGGATTCCACTTTCAAATAGGTTCCTGTTTAATATGAATTTGAGAAACTTGTTTATGGAAAGCAGCTTGTTTAGAAACAGATAGTTACCTTAACATATCCTTTTATGCCATCTTGAAGAACCTTTCTTACACTAGCCAGCATCATTTCTTCTACTTGCAAAAGCCATTTTTCTACCATGCCCTTCAAATGAGGAAAAAAAGATAAGAATCAATACACATTTCTTGATTAAACTCTATTTAAAGGGCAATTGCATTAGGCACAGTTGAATTCTGTTAGGCTTAAATATGCTTTGTTCTGCTCTGGGTGTGATATACAGGAAAAAAAAAGTGGATAAAAGGCACCTAAATTCTGAGAGCCCTACCATTAACACCATTTGGCAGCAGGCAAATCAAACTAACTCTAAAGGGAGTTCATCTCAAGAAACAGACAAGGTTTCATATAAGCATGAAGGGGAAATGAAGATCACAGCTTGCAAAGTCATTTAAACTTGATTATTTTAACACTGGGCATATTTTTTTCCTGGAAGATGAAGGGGAAAAAAAGACAGTCTGTAACTCCTCTCTCTYTGGGTATCACACAGTCACTTGGTTGCACATCATTATGTGGGGCACAGCAGTAAAAACAGAAACTCAGATACATTTCCAAACTTAGAAACTTTAGGTCTATAATGGTGCAATTCTCTTCATTTGATTTTAAACAATCCCACCATTATCTCCTATTTACAATGGACCATAACACATTAAACTAGTTTTAGGTGCAGCTAAAAAAAATGGAATGACTTAGGCTTTTCAGCAGGAAATTCTTTTTGTACAAGACAATAYGAGTCTGCACCTTCACTTCCTCAATACCTTCCATGATCTGATCCTAAAAATTTTAAATAACATCCCCCAAAAAACTTACACTTTAGGTAAAGCATTAGTTTAATATTATAGTAAAATAAAAATTACTTTTGCTTTCACTGGATAGATTTTATCTATGAAAGGAACAACTTCTTTCTCTGAACTGATCATGCCTATGATCTCCAGGGCTTCCGTGAATTCCAGTTTAGCAATTCCTTCAAAACACTTCTTTAAATGTGGCTGCACCCGAAGGGGATCCTTTGTTTCAGACAGTATTTCAAGCAGCTCATCATTAGACAGGAAAAAGAATCTGTGAGAAGAATAAAATTAATGAATACGCTCTTTCCAAACATGAAAACTGTCTTAAGAAGCTACTATATGCCAGATTGCTGTTACTTAGACGACCAATATAACAACAGAGCAATAAAATCAAAACCCTGCTCCCCATAATCATATATAATGCCTATGTATTACACACCCCTGCAGAGCTGAAGGGGCTGAAAACAGTGAATCAGCCATGGAAAGGTGGTAACTTCCCCCTAGAAAATCCCTGTAAGTGATATTGATTTTATAATCACAAGTTTTCAGTGTGCTAAGACAGACTTTGCGTCTCCACTTGTTGCCTGTCCTTGGCATTGCAAACTTACCTGGAGTTTAGGATCCTGATTTGAAGTCCAGAAAGAACAGATTTTTATTCTTTATTACATGGGTCTATGTTTATGAAAACATGTGCTCATGAAACAGCTCAGTAGAAACAGTTTCAAAATTTGATATCTTTTTCTCTCTAATTTGGGGCTGCTTAATTAATTTACCTTGGGAAAAACAATCTTTTCTTCTCCAAGTAAGTATTCAACCCCTTTTGAATTTCTTCTAAGAGTGTATTTGCTTCCTGAAGTCTCTCCAACATCATGGGTTGTTCAGTTGCAACAAGCACCTTTGTGTCTTTCGCCTTTATAGGAACAAACACTCAGGAGAAACTGCTAAAGCCTTATTTATATACAATATGATTAGTAAATGTTACATTACATTGTCATCAACGATTACACATGTTGCAAAAGGCTCAAAAGCTAGATAGACATTTTTTTCCTATTCACAAATAAGTTCTGTGAAACATAGTCACAGTATGCCACGTTTATTTTCTATTTTTGCTATCTAAGTTGGATTTGCATTTTCCGACAGCACTTAACACTCTTAGTATTCAAGGCTACACAGATTTCCGAAAAGGCTTCATCATTCATAAGGCTTGAGCTGTGATATAGATCTCAACTTCTATTTTGTTACWCTTATTATTTCAGCACCTTAATCACACGCTGCCTAATATTTTTTGAAAGATCTCAGCTCATACTGTCACTAAGTATCTGAATTTTAAACCAACTAGGTATTTATAGAAAGTTGAAAAAGGTTCCCAATTGCATTTAATATCCCTATGGACTTATCCTTGTGCTGTCAGGACACACTAACTGCTCAGTATATATTCACAGAAGTTTCAAAAAAAAAAAAAAAAAAATCGCACCACATAGTAAGGAACAATCATGCAAAAGCGTTTTGCTCTAACGCCTTTAAAAGACTAATCCAAAATCCAATTAAATCAAGAACAGAATTCTAGAGAGTGTCAATGAACTCAGAAACAGAAACTGCAAGCACAGATCATTCAACTTTCTACCCAGTTCTTATCATGTAACTGTAAAAAGGCTGGAAAATTTAGATTTCAAAATTAACTGAGCTGTACTTCATSCTGCAACATTCAGACTCCACAGAAATCTCAAAAAAGCAGCGATTTAATCTATCTTTCTAAATTGCAAAACTAGATTTTGATTGGGCTTAGTGAAGGATTTTTGGTTCCAGATTACAACTTTTTGTGATTTAAATCCAAGTAATTAACTCCAGAAAAGATAATACATCTTTACAATAATTATAATGTAACCAATGTAAATAAAAATGCATGCTATGTTAAATTTAAGCTCTTACCACTTCTGACATGATGTCTTTCCAGTATGTATCCACAATCCCAAACTTTCTACCTTCTTCAGGCATTTGAGCTATAATATCTTCTGAACTAAAAATTGGTTCCAAATACAACCAAGTTGCCTGGCATTTCAACCAGCTATCTAGAATATCTTGCATTAGAACAAGCTTTTCTTCCCAAGCCTGCAATAAAAACATTTAATGCTTAAGAGTTCTAAGAATCACTTTAAATTTCATGCTCAGTGAGTAACCATGTGAAATCGCAGGTTATTAGTTAATTTAATGCTGCGTCTTGTACAAACAGGAGGGCAGCTAAAACAAAAATACCTTGAAATGCTGGAGGATTGTACTAATTCCTGAAGATTACAAATGCGTTCTCTTACAAATGGTAGACTTGTGTCTCATTACACAGCACAACAGGCTAAGTATGTTTTAATCAGCCAGCATGTTCCCAAGACATATAACTAAAAATCATGGTTATAATTTAATAATGATTTAACAATGCAAATACATTTTCTTTAGCTACAAAGGAAGCTATGCACACCCTTTTCTAGAAGCGATAAATTCTAAACATTTTTGGAGAAAAATATGAATATTCAAGCTCCTTAGAAACACTTAAAACTAAACAAGTCCTTATCACACCAAAACACCTTAAAGCATTTAGGGAAAACTATGTATTATGAAATACATGAAAAACATGTATTATGAAATACATGTAAGCTCAGTGAAACTAGCTTTTTCTTACCCGACATTCAGTTTCTATTGGTCTGATGAAAGGAGAGCCACACATTGTCTGAGTCTTAACAATGTGATCATCCAGCAAAAGCTGGATGTCATCAATTGCTGACAGGATGCTGGTATTCTGTAAATATATCATATTTTGTTAAGGCAAATGAGAGTTGCTACATTTCATTACTCTTAAGATTCACACTCATGCATAGCTTTGTTTCCCCTTYTGAGAGTTGAAAGTGAGAGAAGTAAGGCAAGAAGAAAGACTGCAATGTATCTGATGATGCGRAACAGTATCTCCACTGTATATATCTCTGCTTCACCAAAAGTTTAGAGACAAAATGGTATTGTGAACAGGAAGCTAGCCAGGGATTATAGTGATTTATAAGCTAATSTTCTTCATTGCATGTGATATCCGTGCCTTCTGGTCAAGTTAAAATTTTACTACAAATCAGCTTGCCATATAAAATGAGCAGAAGCTCTCAAGCTCACAGATTTGTTAGGACAAGTTTGCTGAGATCATGAGTTATCCAGACACTAAGGTAACATCAGCCATCTAAATATAAGGCAAGCTAATGGACAAGTTTAACCAGATTCTTGGATATGATTCCACTTTGCTTCATGCAACAAGTCAAGTGTAACTTCCTTCTAATATTTCTTAACCGCTATTGAGAATTAAAGTAATTCTTTTTAATAATATATGATTCACATCATACACTGATAGACTGATTTGGTGTTTACTCACAGTATCCCTATACTTCACTAGACTGAAGTGTAGGTTGACCCATTCTGATTTCATTTTCTCCATTGATTTCTCTAAGGAATACTCCTTACTAGCAGCTGCTCCAATAGGTTCCAGTCTAAATTGGAATGAAATACATTTTAGAAATGTTTTTGCAACAAAGCCGAAAATTAAAAAAAAAAATCATAGACATATCCGTATAGCTATCTCATATATAGTCATTAATAATATCATCCACTCATTTCAGACAATGTTTTTGGATTTTATTACTTTGCTTTTAGATGTCTTTGCTGCACTTAYAGCAATTCCATCCTTAGCTTGATAAAATACAGCTGTGAAACTGTAACTGATAACATACACACAGAAAAAAAAGAAAAACGAAAACTAGAATTTGGTAAATTACATACTAAACAAACTAAATGCTAAAAAACTGAGATTAAAGTAAGCTTCTTACTCTTCAATACATTTTGATAGCCCAAAATCCAGTATGTTTGCAAGGCTAGTAGATTCATCAGGTATGATTTCATATCCTACAATTTCACTGATCTGAAAACAAAACAAGAAATAAAAATCATTATCAGGATGCAAGTCTGTAATAGACTTATCTAGAAATAAACAGTAAATAAAAATCAATGCAACTTCTCCAGTTTGTTTTTCTACCATAAATTATTAATTCAAAGAAGATCCTCTCTGTACCATTAAAAATATTCTAATTGGATTTATTTTGTGACAGGATAAAGAATTTCCTCATTGTGAAATACCGAACTTTACTAGTATATGGACTAATGTAGTGAACTATGAGTTTCTGAGGTAGACTATTTCCATAGCTGAAGTGAAGTGTAAGTACCTGCTTCCAGTGTCTCTCCTTCATTCCACGATTGCAGACAATTGTCAAGACTGGAAGATGCTGTTTAAATTTATCAAGTTTATATTTCAAATTTTCTGCTAAGCGCCTAGGCCCAGGCAAATCAGGAAAACTCTTAGTGAGCTTGTACACAGTTCTCCACATGTTCCCAATTTCTTCTGTAATTTCATCTGCATTCAGTTCCTGGAGTGATCCTGGATACAGCAGTGTAAAAGAGCACAGACAGAACTYGGCATAAGGGTATTACCAAAGAGATTTATTTACATATATTTATAATCATTCTCCTTTAATTGGAAAGCAGTTGTTACAGAAAACAATCTTAGGGTAGGTTTTATCTCATGTTGTTTAATAGTGTTTATTTCTTGGATTTCTTTTCCCAAACAAGTACTAATCAACATTTGCAGCTTCCACTTTACTCAATAAAATTTAACTAACTGAGAATGAGACATTTGAGCACAAAAACACCAGAGCCTCACCGTTCATCCATTCCTCAGATTTGGTATGGAAATTATATGCAGTTATCCAAAGCTGCTCAAAGGGTTGTTTCTTTGTAATTATAGTTTGTAGTAGAGGATATTGACTCTTTTCCTGTTCAAGTAATTCCTCTTCTTTATTAATAGCCTTTAAAGCAAAAATATATGTATATATGTATATGTGTGTGTGTATATATACACACACACAACTTTTATGAAATTTCTACTGTTATTTAAACATTTTAACKGGTGATATTGGCTACATTTTTATTGGTCCTAAGGCTAGTCAGTTTATTTACACCTGTGGAATTTAGGTAAATAAGGTAAATGTATTCTTGAAAATTCCCCTAGATATTTGTTGGTATCATTCACTACTCAAATACCTTTTAAAATTTATTTCCATTTAGAACTATATTATGTACCATGATATTCATTAAAACTGAGGTTCCCAAATTATGAAGCCACTTCGAAAACTGTAAACTCCTCAGTTTAAATCAGGTTGAGAGTGTTAAGAAATTGAATGGCAATAATGAAGAAATTGTGCWATTTATCTAGATCCTAAACTGCTCTAATTGGTCCAATTTTCTCTTTAAGAGTAGACTTAAATAAAAGCCTGATCCTCGAGGTCCATGCATGCAGAATTCTCTTTTGTCTCACTGTCATTTAGAAATATTAATTAAGCCTAACAATATCCCTAAGATCTATCAAAGGTAACCACTCTCATTTCTCATCAGAAATACAGCTAAGACTAATTATTTGGCCTTGAAGCACATGGGAAATTAGCTATAGGTCCCTGAACAGAATCTAGGAGCCTTGAGATTCATCTGCTTCTTCTAACACAAGCCAATTTCCCTCTCCCCATTGTTATATAAGGTCTTATTTAAGGGCTATAGGCAATGATACAAACATGTGGAAAACATTTGGTTTTAATACTTGTTTTTCAACTGGGGACCAAGCAGAGGAGACTTAAATGCAGCCCTAGCCGCTTAAACCCTGATTTGGGGAAAATGCCACCTCCTTAGCATCCTTCTCCTAAAGAGTTCTATTTTCTGCAGACAATGAAATTCAGGATTTCAGCTGAAACATTCCCCTAAAATTCCTCATCCAACACACTGAAACCTACTCAGTACCTTAGCTGGTCAAATAAATACTAACCTCCAGTTCTGTTACTGCATTATCCAGATTCTTATTTAACTGTTTAAATTTCTCAGCATTGTTCTTCATTTCTTCCATGGTCATAACATCTCGCTTTTTGTAGCTTTCTACTTCTCTTTTATAAATCTCAAGAGTTTCCTCAAATTGAGAACACCTGAAATAAAGATCACTCTGGTAATACAATTTTCTCTTTAGTCAATCATTCTCTTAGTCAATCTTTGAAATCAATTCTATTCAATTTACAGATTTAGAATTCATAGATCTTTTTAAATCCCCTCAGWTGATTTAGTTCACTTACATTTGCTGCCTTCAGTAACCAGAAGAAATAAAGGAAGAGTGAAAACAATGTGACAAAATACTKTGCAAGCACTGTGCAATACTGTAATACCGTGCAAGGCAGTATAACAAGATAAAACTGAATATTCCAGTAACATCCACCTCTCAAATATTTGAGGAATATACTAATCCACCATGATAACAATATTTTTCTAAAAACTCCACAATACTGCAAGCTGTGTTTTTCCCTTGCTTTCCCACTTCTTTTCTAACTTTACTTATTTGACGTTACCTGCTTTTCACCAACACTGAAAGAAAACATACTGACACCATACCTTTTAAGCAAAGCCATCTCTGCACGATTCCTCCTGTTATACAGCTGGTCTCTACTGTTTTCAAAGATTTCCTCAATCTGATCAGGCCAATGGAGAACGGTGCTATTCAGCTTTATGTCATCCACTAATATAGAGAAAACGTATACACTTAAGAAAGTATCCTTAAGAAACTATCCTTTAAGCAACAATCTAATAGAGTGGCTGTTGTGAAGTGTAAGCAAAATAGCTCAGCTGCATTTAGGAAGAAGGAATATTTCTTTTCTAAGCAGCAAAATAAATCAAAAAAGCTCTAAAAATCATGACATATCCTAATTATTTCAATTGCTATTTGATCTGAACAAATGTTCCAACAAGAAATGATCATCCTGCCACTAAAAAGGATATAAATCAATAAATGTTTGTATGCACTAATTATGACAGCTTTTTGTTCTGAATAGGAGCTCAAACTCAAAAGCAATTTCTACAGATGTTTCCTAAAATTGAAGAACAGCCTTTATATTAACTCAAACAGCAAAGCATCACAGCAAAATGACATAAGGACTCCTTTGGAAAAGAAGAAATAAAATTATCAGGGTTTTTTTTCTCCTGCTTCCTGTATTGGTACATTTTTGTCTCTTCTGAATCCTTAGCATTTCCTGGTTCACTTGGAAGTTTCCATTCACATTTTAGAAGATGAAACATTTATCTGTGAATATTACGCTCTGTGTAGAGCCTAATATTCACATATATACATAYATATGCATATTTTCCTATGAAGACTTTTATATTCTGTAGTTTGCACATACAAGGAAGATCAGCATAGTCCATGAGGAATTCCAGTCTGTGTGTTGCTTCAGAGATCTGCCGCCTCAGTTTATAAACAGTAACTTCACTGGACTTCTTCAAGTATGCAGTAAGTTCCACCAGCTCTTCACTGTTCGAAGGCACCTCACTCACTCTATCTGCAATTATGTTGTATTCATTGCAAATGCTATGACAACAACAAAAAAATGACATATCACTGGGAACATAAATGAAGAGATGCCAAACTGTGTTCAAGTTTATGCTTTCTTTTGAATATGAATACTAAGCATCTTCATAAATTAAGATTTATTTAAATATTCATCTTAAATATTATGACAAATATACACAACAAGTCAAGAAAGGATTGTTTTACTAAACAGAATCAATTCTACAGTCCAACTACATGAGAATTGGTATRTAAGTGATTAACTGTTAAATTAGAAGGTCTCATAGGAAGGGTTCATTTAAATAAATTCAGGCTTTCAAAATGTTAAGTGCTTGGCCTAAGCTGCATGTCTAGATCCCCTTCATAGTCACAGAGGCCCCACTAGAGAACAGTTCATCACACAGAAGAATCTTTTTCAGACTAGTGGGATGAAATATTTCCTTATAGTGATTGTCCCTCTCTATTCACTGTGGAGAAATTCTTTACTGGCTAGTCTTTCTAAATACATTTCAAATTTAGAGCCATAATTATCCCATGACACTAGCATCAAAATATAATTTAAAGTTCCTTTTWTTTTTTTTTTTTTGAACAGTTGCATATTTCCAGTATAAACTGGAATGTTTATACTGGATACTGAAAATGTCCAGTATAAACTGGAATGTCCAGTATATGCAATACATACCAAGGTTTATATTTATTTACAAGTATTTCTGTACCTGTTCAATTTTAAATACTAGTTTGGTGCCCTTGCACATGTCTGGACAGCCCTAGAAAACCCAGCAGATGAACAAAGGTCTCTCAGGTACTGACTTATAGCAAAAGCCAGGTATGATAAAAAGTACCTGTTATTTAATGTTCTGTTTTCAATCACTTCAAACTCAATCAATCTGTCCTTAAGATTTTGGATCCTATTGCAGAGTTCCTCATTCAACTGTACTGCATCCAGACAGAACATGGCCAAGGGGACAGTGACATGCAAGGAAGCAATCTCCCTTTTCAATTTTGTTAAATTGTCAATCTTCTACAAACAGAAAAGAATAAACCTGTTATTTTTCCTTAAAGCCTGTACATGCAAAAAGCTAAGCAACAATCAATTAATTGGCAGTCAGTATGTTTTTTCAATCATAAAGAACTAATTTTTATATTTTCAGATTTCAATTTCAGGGCCGAAAGTTCTTCACGGTTAAAAAAAAAGACATATTTAAAGAATATCAGAAATTGCCCATAAGAAGTACTAAGTCAGAGGCTAAGCTGGGAATGAAACAAGAAAAAAGTGGACAAGATTGACTACAGGCAAAAAGTGAAAGACCAGCAAATACTAGGAACCTAACCCAACCAAACCCATASAAGGTGACCACTGGGAAATCTTCTTCTCTTGCCACAGTAATCCTGCAGTAAAGGGCTACAAAGACTGAAATGATTTCCCTAATGTTTTGCAGAGTAAAACAAGTCATTAGAATAGAAGTTCTTTGGAACAAACAATAAAACAGGAATTTTAGTGTCTGTTAGCTGCTGTATGAAAACGTAGAAATTGTCAGTTACATATTACCTCACTAAAATCTTCTAAAGAATGACCCTCCTTCAAAAAATTAGTAATGTCTTGCTCTGCATTGTTGTTCAGAAGATCACTGTATTTCCTGTACACRTTTAAATACCTTAAAAAGAGAAGATCACAAAAGCAAACACAAGATTCCAATATGAAGATTTTCTATAACAGGTAATGAATCAACTCAAACTATTAAATGCTTGAGTCAAACAGATTATGTTATAAATGCGAGGATTTGGATGTGTAAGGGAGTAAGACAAAACTTACTTCTGTGGGCCAAGAATGTTGCTCTCAAAGATCTTTTCGAGTTTTTTCACCAAATCTGAAAACAACAATTCATCTGGTTTGACTGTACTGAGAACGAGATCATCTCTATTTAACTCTGGAAATAGAAATCTTTCTACCTACAGGAAAACATTGCAAATATTGTGATACACATACAATAGTGGAAATAAAGTACTCTGTTACCTATTCACCCTCTTCTTTAGAAAAGAATATACAATTCAGTTAAGAGATTAAAACCCAAAAGGCTCTGATTCGTATTCAACAGTCATTCCAAACCACTCAGGTACTTTTTTGAAAAAAAAAAAAGTCACAGTCAGAAGCAAGCTTGGGACTTTAATGTTACATCTCTGGAACTGAAATGTCATATTATTCAATGCTCAAAGCAGCTCAGATCTATGTTCAGTTACAGATTCACATCATAAGTACCAATGTGATCATGCAAACRAAGGATTCATATGCACTCTTGGACCCTGTGCTCAATAATTGAATGAGTTGCTCCCCACAGTTTAATTAGAAATGATAAAATATCCCAAAGACTGTTGCACAACAGAATAGAACAAATGGAAATTACTCCTCTCGTAGAAAAAAATACTGCTGTAAGAAAAACTGTAGCAATTATTGCTGTAAGAAAAACAAGGTAGCAATTATGCCTGAAAAAAAAATTCACTTGGTTACACATATTGCTTGCATGTGAAAACTACATAAAATTAAACCAGAGCTTAATATAACTTGAATTTGAAAAGGAGTAACTGTTATTTCATCTTCCGTAATTACAAAAGTTTGTACACATACAGCTTCTGACATAGGAGTCTCATCTTTATCTTCTACATGTCAGATTTTTGCCTCATTCACAAATACATTGTGTTCTCCCTGTACTTGGTATGCAGCTATAACTTTTCCAGTACCTTTGGAAGTTCCTCAGCGCTTTGTAGGATCTCCCTGAAGCATTGCCTGATTAAATCCCAACATTCTTTCAGAGGTGGCTCAAACACAATCTTGGGTTCCTCCACATTAAGTTTTACTATTAGTATCTGACGTATAAAGAACTGCATTTCTTGATATGGTTCTGTAAAATCATTCCCATTCTTAGGGAAAAAAATGAAAATTGTACATGTCAAAGGAAGCAACTATAACTACAATCATTTTAAAAAAGGATTCAAACTTCTGCAAGTCTCAACTGCACAATACAAAAGGAATTTTCTTTACTAAGTCTTATCCAAAACACTGATGCTCCAATACACAAAATATTTACATGCCAACTCCTCAATGAAATTGTAAGAGTGTAATTAGGGAACTGGATCTAAGCCTAATTGCCTTGGTTCCCACTAAAGTAACAGAACTAATTACCGTACAGAATCAAAACACTAAAAAAAGATCCTTAATGCCTGACCGAAATCAAATGCAGCATCAAGTGCAAGATTTTTATTTTTTTAATTATTTGGATGTTGAATAACTGTCCTACACCAAAAATGCCTTTACAGTAATGGAGACCTAATTCATGACTAGAAACCTAATGTAGATGCTCCAACAATAAAAAAAAACAGTAGGAGCAAAATCCTTCAGATACAAGGCTTAGCATAACTTTGACAATATTGCTTGTGATCCTCTTGCTATAATGCAGCTTTTTATCTCTGACATTCACTCCATTTAAATATGTTTCATGTTATCTTATCATGGTAGATCCTGGATGTTTACTTAAAGAACTTGTTTCCCCTAAGAGGCAACTTCATGGTAACCAAAACAGTCACAAAAACTCTCACAGTTTAATGTTTATTTTTATAATTAAATATTTTACTTCAAATAACAAAGGACATGCATCTGGTACAGACAGGGACACAACATATTTCAATTGTCTCTGCAAAGGATTATATGCATGACTAGGCACACTTGACTTAAAAACAAGTTGCTCATGCTTTTGGAAAAATACATTTAAGTCTTTTGCCAGATGAAAGGCAATAAAAATAAAAATTTTAAAAGCCTGAAAAAAGCACAGCCATTGACGATAGAGCTGGAAACTTCTACAGATTGATAATTATAACTGTACTTCTGCAAATGACATTTTATGCAAGTCGTTTTTGACCACACAAAAAAATCMAGTATGCACAAAGAGGGCATGCACAAACGCTTGGCGGACCCAGACATAGCTTATAAAGGCAAGAGCTAGCCAGAATATTTTAGCTTATTAAGGATATTTTTTAATGCATGTATGGCTTATTTCTACATAACATTGATAACCATATGCATAAATACACTTCACAGCATATACCTGGTGGATCATAAAAAAGGCAAGAAGATCTTCTAAAGAGTTAATAACCATCCCACGTAATTGTAATGACATAAGATTTGCTACTGAACCAAAATAACTTTCAACTCGCTGAGAAGAGTCACGGTTGTGCTTAGGAGCAAAATGAAGCCATTTCCTCCTCTGATCAAAGAAAACGGATACACAGGTTGGGATCCACCTACAATAGAAGAGCACGGACAAAGTACTTAAAAGCTTATTACTCTTGACTTGCATTTACCAATTAAATCTAAGCTGAGTAATTACACAAAGAATAAAGCAACTCAGAGGGTTAGTAGAAAACAGTTAATTTCAAACAAAATTGTAAAAAGACATTGAGGAAATGATTTTTTATGCTAAGGATGCTTGTTATCATTGGGCTCTAGTATTGGTTCAAATGAACATTGACAGGCTAAACACTAGTGACAATATTAAATGATTGACACTAAATGGTAACCATGAGCCTGGAAGAGATCTGGACAGGCAGAATGTTGTTATCCTCTATCACAGGCTGTCGCTTCAAAAAAAAAAAAAAAAAAATCTTACTTAAATTGATCAGGCTCCACTAGGAAACAAATAAACAATTTTTTCTTTAATCACTACTGGAGCTTAGATCAATAAGATCAATGCAGCCCCAAAATTATGATTTTTTTTTCACACTTCAAAAGCTTTGTTCATTAGATCATCAAGCTACTTTCTCATAAGCTTATAAGATTAAGCTTATAGCTCTGCAGGCTTCCACCTTAGCAGATTTTCATACTCCCTCTGCTTACATATGTATTTACTAGACATAGTATAAAAAATTTTGTAAGCAGTAAACTGCCACCTGTTTGAAAGCTTAATTTACTTCTTTTGCAATTAAAGTCTGTATCAATGGACACTCACATGCAAACACATCCCCATTACAACTAAGGAAGTCACAGCTCATAACACTTTCTTTACAGAAATAGGACAACTTTAAGTATTCTGATATGGTATTTCATGTTAGAGGACAAAATATTAACATGATGTTCTTTGTGTAAATCAGAGTCTAAGACATTATTTTTCTGCTGTTATTGCAGATGGTACTGACTTGTTCCGAAGAATATTGCGGGCTTCCATACAATGTYTTTGAATGAGATCCTTAAACTCAGTAGGCAACAGTGGCAGGTGACCAGAAAGCATTTCCTTTGTGCGAACAAACCTTAGATGACTGTATCTATAGAAAGCAACATGGAAAGCAGATACTTTAAGGAATTCTGTCATGAAATACATATAAAATGGAATCAGGAAGGTCTTGAAATTACTTAAAAACACAAATAATATTTGTTGCATTGATGCATGTCACTTCAAAGTTGTAGAATGAGCACATTTCTAATATGGTTCATTTTTTTTGCTCATAACAAAGGTTAATGGGCCTCACAATTTTCATTTTATACTAGTAACATTTCAAAATGTGKTTTTTTTTTCTTAAAAGTTTGGAAACACTTTTGTCCTTTTGCTAGATTAGTTAGTGCATCCAAACATTAAAGAACATACCGAATGTCAATTCCTGCTTCTATTCYATATTTAACTACCATATTTAACTCCACAAGATAACGTGTCCCTCTGTTTTCTAAAGTGCCTAGTGATCTCACTCCTCCCACTGTAGACACTTGAATGTGACTCAATTTAAGAGAGATGAAAGCTCTCCTAGTGTTAATTTCCGGAAATTATTCATTAATTTCCTGAATGTCCTTAATCCAAAAAAGGAATTTTACTTTAAAAGTAACATATTTAACACAAAGGTGACACGTCATAGCACTAAGTTAACTATTCCTGACGGTTTGTAGACATGAATATATACTCATGCTTGCATTCAGAATCTCTGGGAAGCAATCATTTTATACCAAGATTCTTACAGCCTCACTATTTTGTTGTGGGGGAAGACTCTTAAGACAGCAAATATTACAGACTTCTCTATTAACATCTGAACTATCTTTGGGGGTCATAAAGAGAAGAAATAACAATTTATCCACTGAACAATTCTAACCTTGTGTGCTTGGTTAGAGAAGCAGAAAGAGTAGGCTCCACCAGGATTCAGTAGCATATGTAAAGAAGTCAGCATATGCCCTCTCTAACCAAGCTGTAAAATGAAACAATCTAATTAGGATCCTATAAACACGATTCCTTACTCAGAAAGCCAGAGCTGTTGCAAAGTATGCATCAAGGGATTCACTGTGAATAGATTGGTTTCATTCCAGTTTTTCACTTCTTGGTAAGAGTCATGCCARGGGACAGGGGCACGGACCACTCTCCGAGGAAAAGGGCGTGGGGTATTTCCAATAAACAGTCTCTCTCTCTCAGCTGGATCCATCAAGATGTAATCAACTAGAACAAATCATATATCAGATTGTGAGATTGTACTTACTTATTTATGATGATTTCTATCTGCTGAACATGCATAGTGTAATAGCATATAATCACTGTCTGTTTAATTTTTATTAATCCTGTAATGGCCTACATGAAAGCTTTGAACCTACGATATGATCTCAGTGTAATGTTTAGCTTCACTGGAGTTCAGAGAGAGATAAACCTGTCTGTTAATAGGCAACAACAATTTACTGTAGAATAACAAAAATGCTAGTCTGGGAAGTATCGGCTTTACCCTCTCCAACATGATCAAGACTGTTATGGACAGATACTTGTCTATTATGAATTTAAAAGCCTCCACTTATTGAAAATCTGTTGCAATGCTTCACTATCTTTGTAGTAGCAACATTTTCCTAATATCAGATCTGAATTTCTTTTACTACAAACTGAGATTATCATTCCTTGTCCATCGTTATTTGATCCACCCTCCCTTATATATATCTGAGGAAATTACACAGAATTATGCATTATGAAAATGATCTGGATTTAAATTAGGTGTAGGGATAAGACAAGAACAGATTAAAAGATTGTATGCACCAGGAGCTACTGAACTATATGCTGACTGTATATGTAAATAATGGGATATAGGGCTTAGTAAATACATTTTTTAGAATTTGTTGAAAGAGCAATTTTATGCTGCATGATCAGAGATTATATTCTCAGATATCTATTGCAGTTCTATTGACTCCAAGGGAACTCTCCATGGTTGCTATAAACAGAATGTAGACTTGCTTTCAAAATACACAAAGCATTTATGCAGTCTGAGTTACTAGTAATTTTTGCCTCTTACCAATGGCTTTCATGAGGTTGATACGATAGTCAGCCTTGATCTCTTCTTTTAAACTTCCAAGTAAATTCTCCAGATCTGGGTTAGTAAGAATATGAGCTGGAATACGCTTTAAAATTACATTCATCACTTCCTTGTCCTGAGGTGCAAGCATGTCTTCTTTTACTCCATTATGTATGTAGTAACAGTATCTCTACAAAACAATGTTAAAAATATTATGCTTATTGTATGATTTTTTTGCTGATAACGAAATATTTTGAGTCTTTTTTTTATTTCTTGGAACCATTTCACAATTGAAAGGCACTTGAATATCGTGTATGTTAAGTATCTCTGTCTTTTAGTTCTTCATAAAGCACTGCCAGTAACTGACATTCTTACAATATTTCAGTATAAGCATATGCATTCAAAGAACTAAGTATAGGGTATTAAATTACTGATGCCTAGTGCACAAGCCAACAGTGTGAGAGGTTAAGAATTTGGCAAGATAGTTTCAGTTRCAAATGCACTAGAAAAACTAGCAGACTGAGTAAACGAAAAGAAACAGAAAAGAAAGGTGCAGACTTGACATAAGATTTTAACAGCAGTTAGCTATATTGAATATTTACATCTTCTAAACCTCATGCACCGCCTTCCTCTCTCAACTGTTTTTAAGTAAGCAGAGTATAGACTTACATTGTTGATGATTATTCTTGCTACTTTTCTCAATCTTAAAATGTATTCTAAATACCTCTATATCATTTTCTGAGGGTGTTTTTTCTCTCTTGCTTCTCTCTTCCTCATGTAAGTGCATGATATCCAGTTGTTCTTCTGGAGTTAACGGCTGGTTGTCTGAATCATGTATGACATTTGATCTTGGCATATGACCAGGAACATACAGTGAAAAGGGATCCGAACTGCTCAACAAAGTTGGTGTACTTYTGAAATAGAACAACACAAATATAGTGAATAAACATGCTGTAATGGATTCTTAAAACACTGAGGACAAATGACAAGCATACATAAGTCTCTGACACCATACTAAGAATGAGTGTAGCCTTGAAGTACTTCAGTTACTCATTAAAAATTCAGTAAAGTTAGATATCTGCTATACTACAGAAAGGCACCATATGCTGTTTTAATATCACATAAAATTCTCAGGTGTACAGTGTCACTGAGACAAGTAATATCTTAAAAATAATTCCATCAGAGGCCAACTTGCTAGCTCTCTCCCACCTCTCAGCTCATTATCTTATCAAACTCCTAATAGTCCAAGCCAAAAGTTTATGCTCATTTGCATATACATGTTATACTATAGTCTTCATTTTCATAATTATACACTATATTCTATATAACTTCTGTCCACACTGCTTAGCATGAACAATATTCAGTCAACAAGTAGTTATTTAACAATTTTTACACTGTTTTCCAACATGTCACTCCATACACCCACTACCAAGTTTCTAGTTAAAATGAGAGTTTAAGCATCCTGTCCATCTCTTATGGTACTCACTTTATCTTAATAAGGACTAAGAAACTTACTGTCATAGCACTTTCAAAAAGGATTTTTTTTCTCCTTATTTTGCAGAGAAAGAGCAGAAGCATCAAAGTACAAATATTCATTACAGTAGAGTCCCATATTGGGGACAATCCTAGGAGCATTATAGAATACTTAAAAGACTCCCGGCACAACTGAGTGACTTTATTTGTCAGCTACATTCTATAAATGGAATTCTAGGTTCTCAAGTCAGCAATCAGATGATTTAGCATGCCTAAGTGTACCTCAAAGAAGCAGTGAAAGGTACTCATTTAGCACAAAGCAGAATGTCAGACTTGAGGCACATACTTTTTGTTAGAAACCTAACATTTCTTAGCATCCAAGTCAAAAGGAAAAATAAAATGCAGCTCAGATGCCCAAACTGAGTGTAATAACCTCTATCTTTTGAACATGACACTTAATTACCTATCAGGATCACACTGACTTCTTTTTGTCAGTTTGAGCCTTTTCACAGAAGGGGTAAATTCTTTCAAAGCTTTAAGCAGCAGTTAAGAAAATTACATATAGGAATGTTATTTCAAATAAGGTGTTAAAAAAAGGGCTAAAWCAGTTATACAGGCAATGAAATAACAGAAAAACAAAATGCCACAAAGAAAGTTTGACTTAGGCCTTAGCAAAACGTTTTAATCATGTTAAAGATTTTGCTGAGTCTGGGCTTACAATGTAGCTCCTGTTTTGAGGGACGAATCTCACAAAGTAATCAGAAACTGGCTTTACCTTGCTAAAGTTATGCTTGATTTCGGAAATTTGTCAATAATGACCACGAGGTGATAAATTGTGAGACTTTACCAGGAAAAAGTGACTTTTCCAGGGATGATGCTTTAAAAGAAAAGCAACTAGAGGTAAAAATGTATAGAAGAGACAAAGCTAAACCTATGAGCACATTCAAACATGGATACACGGCGAGGCTGCTCTCTGCTTCGCTGAACCCAGTGAGSTGCTTGCCATTGAGGAGGACTCCACTTTGTGCATATTTTTCATTTTCAAATCCCGAGCAGTAAGAGAATAGTTATTAGCTATGGAGTCACTTGGGCTTCGGAAATAAGGTTGTTCTTTGAGCGGAACTGCCAAAGTCCATGACACTCGCTGCATCAAAGGAGGATAATAGCTGTTCTGAACAACAAGCTGAAATTGGAAAAGAAAAAAATATTTTACACCACACAGTGATTTTAAGAGGCTTTTTCTCAAGACTTTATTAATGACCTGTCTGCACTTAGCACTCGAGCATCAAAACAGGTAAACAACAACATGAGTTAACAATTCAGCTCTTATCTTTCTCCTACATCAATGAAAGATTTTTAATAGATTTCTTCTGTATGTTCATTTCATATTCTTTCTAGGGTGACTCATTATCTAATGACTAGTGTGTCATCAGTCTCAATGTCCAACTTCAATGAGACAACTCAGAGTTATAAGGCACGAGATCAAGAAATATGAAGATGAACTCATCCTCAGGGAGAAAAAGCACATAAGATAGAATAATTAATGTACTTCATATCATGGGTTCCCATAACTCTMATTTTAAATTCCTACTTAGCTTTTTAGCTTGGTATCACATCTTATTTAGTATTTCTTTTTTTACTTAGTTGGAATAACCAACCATATTCCTATCACTCATTTCTTCCTTTTACAGCACAGCACTACTAGTTTTAAAACATTCCTAGATAAGCTGCTATATACGTTCATGATATCCCATCTTTGTTCCCTAATCTGTCTTGCCTTTCCCTAGGAGTTGCTATTAAATTCATGTTCTCAGTTGATGAGCACGTTATATGCTCTGAAAGGGTAGTGTATTAAAGCACAGAACAGCTACTTTCCATTTACCCTTGCAGCTATAAATCTTTTCTTAGCCTATCATGAGCTTTAGCGAGAATGATAACAAAATAGTCAATTTGAAACAGATAAGGAAAGATTATTACTTCTTGCATTTTTCTTCCAACTGATAAGGCTAATCTTATCAGTAAAGAGAAAGGCGTTCATGCTATTGCTGAGCTGCAGTCATATTCCTTAAATTAGCTTCTGCAACTTCACAGAATCTTTTTAGTTCAATTTCTTCTACCCGCTTTGCACCTGAGAGCTCTCCAGAAAGGCACAGAGCAATTCAAATAGTACAGACGAGAAGGTGCCTGAATTATAGTTTTGTGGAACAAACTGGTATATGAATTTAAAAGTAATTCAGAGATTTGGGGCATTTTCCCTGGGAAGTCACTGCACATCTTTGGGAATTGCTGGAGTCAGCCTAAGCTCGGAATTCTCAGGTCCCCTCCGAGTTAGGCCTGCTTTTAAAATTGTAATTTTCCCCCCATTAGAAGCAACAACTTCCTGGACACAGTGCAGATGCTTTCCCAATGGTGATACCAATGGCATCTTGCACATAATGTGAGCCAAAAAAAAATGGTTCCTGGAAACGCACAAAGAACATCACCTGGCAAAGTCTACCATTTATGTAACATTTATGTAACCTGTCACGGCACAGGAATCTCAGGTCTGGCCAAATCCTCTCCCATATCTTAAATAAACCTTTGATGCACACTTATAAAGTTCATTTGATTTTTAAAGGAAAATAAAAGAATTTACTACAACTCTTCAAATAAAATGAATTTCTTTTTTTTTTACCATTGGAATACTGACACAAGATTACACATAAGAACTATATAAGAAACTGTGAGGCATTTAGCATGGGAAAACTACTGTTTTTTTCTTCCCTCTGTAAGTGCTAACACAGGTAGTTTTTATTCCTGTATCATACAGTATTGGTTGTAGTTGTGAAGCTGTGCAATCTGTCCCTTTATATCAAAGCTGTACCTGTCAAGCTCTCATCTGGTTTTAGAGCAGAATTCTGTTTCTTTTTGTGCTATGACAAAGTATGCATGTGGAGAATGAACAAATGTTTGGAACCAAATTAAATATTGCTTTTTGCTTCTTTTCCCAGTAACTTCAAATTTATGGTCCATTAATATTAGTGGTTTTTTTTTTTTTTAATGTTGACTTATATACTTTGAGTTCAGAATTAAATTTAAAAATAATTTTATTTCAAAACTAAATAAAAATACTAATAGACTATAAAGTTCAAGATCTGTTTTAAACTTCCAAATYGCAATGTCCAAATCATAACAGAAGCGGTAAAACCACTTCTAATTAAGTATCTTACAACCTATTTAACTTAGCAATTTAATTAGCTTTTGCTAAAATCATTCTAGCATCTGCAATTTAATGAATACCCCGGTGAAAGTGGAGATAGTACATACCTGATATAATTCTGAAGGCACAGCTGAAGCAGAAGCAGGTAGGGGTGGTAATTCCGGTATGGCTTTTGAGTGACTCATGTTATATACAGAATCATTTTGCAACTGGAGAAAATTGAAAACAATTTCAAAAACATTTATGAATGTCATTGCTTTGAAAAATGTTTATTCAAGAAAACAGCAGCTTTCAATTTCCACTGAAAATAAATGACATGGTACAACTTTTCTAATGTTAAGGAAAAGGACAATCTGCAGARTGGATCACTCAGCAGAACAGGCTTTCAGGTTACACTGTTCTCCAGGCATCTGATAAACTATGTATTTACCAATAAATGTCAGAGGTAARAAAAAACACAAAAATATTTCTGTATCATCAAAACTAACTCAAACTTTTTAAAATATTTTTAGTGTACATGTTGTATGAATTTTGTAATAGTGTAAACACGGGATATTATAATACTAATGACTACTAGCCTGTCAAAGTGACACTGAAATGATGCAAACTGTGTGAATTGCAGAACGAAAATAGCGAGTGGGTGAAAAAGAATCTAAGATTTTCCTTTAGGTCAATAAGAACTCAGTTTCAAAAGCACCAGTACTGCCAAGATGGAAAGAATACAGTGAAAGGACAGATTACTAATAAGGGATTTGCAAAGTGGCTGAAGCAAATGTTAGAATATTTAACATGTCTCAGGACTATGTTCTACCTCCCCAAGGAGATGATATGTTGAGGTAGCCTTCCAGCACACCATAGAAAGTTCTCAAGGAATATTTTCTATTTATGCATATTTTTCAGATTTTTATTAACAGCAATTTTCCTTATCACAGGCTGAAAACCTGCTCCTATTTTTCTTCAAATCTTTCTAAACCGTATTTCCTTAGAGGATATATAAGGAACAAAAGTATGAAGTGACACTAGCAGCAAAAAGAAGTAGAAGTGTGCCATRTCAAAGACCAGTGTATTAAATCATCATGAAAGAGCAATGTTATTATCTAATGCAATTGTTTGAATAATGTATAATCATTTTTACATTATTTTAATACATTTTTAGCAAGTGGCTACTAACTTATGATAAATGACTGGAAAACAAGGCTCCCAAAATTTGGTTTTCACATGGACAAAACTGTTCTTTCCTCAGTATCAAAATACAACTCATTCAAAACTAAAGTCTAAGAAAGGAATTATCTGATTTACCTCCCTGGYATTCTTCAGCACTCATCACAGAGAAATTATCATTGCCAAGCACTTTTTAATACAGGCAGCAGGAATTATCTTTGATTAATGACCAAAGGATTTGATTTTCTGATAATTTTTAAAATGAACAAACCATATACTGTGTTAGATTTGTTCATTCTTAAGGGTATAAGAGTTATTAAGAAAGCCATTGTACCCTCTGAAGAAGCTCTTGATTTAYATGCCACCTAATTTTTCAAACCGTATGTCCAAAGAGTATTGAACAAAAAGAAGCACCTTCAAATAGGCTGCTTTGTTCCAATGTTAGAGCGTTTACTATCAGTAATGGCCATATTCAACTTAGGTTTTAAAATCATTATCAATCTTCCATTGAGCCCTTGCAGAAAGAACTTACCCTCAGGAGCTTTGGGGTCTCTGCTGGCTTCATTGTGCTTTATCTTTCATCAAAATTTTCACAGCTCGCTTAGAAATTTACAGTCCCCATGCTCATGATGAGTGTCCTTGTAGTTACGTGCACTGACAAAGAATTAGCAAATCATTTCAGGTACTGCACAAGGCACCAAAACATGTAGCTTCTGATCCAAGGTACCGTTAAGAAAAGCTCTCCCCAACTCTCCTCTTCCTTGCTCCCACCCTTCTCCCCAGCAGCTCACAACTCAGCCTTCTTCCCCTCCGGAGCACATATTCTTTTTATTCACTCCCCCTTCAAGTTTACTTTTCACCTTGCGCTTCCGCACTCCCTCTAGGTATCTTTCAGACCATTTCTTCCACTGGGTCTTCTCTACATTCCCCACAACCAGRATCTTTCCCACAGGCTGCTCTCCTCTAACGTCCTGGGGCCTCCAGGACCCACGGGGTGATTCAGACCAGATGGAGCCACACACTTGTTGCCAGGAGAGACAAACACGTGCCAGAAGGAAAGGGAAAACAGGGAGATGCCCAGGACGCCTCGTGCATCTACTGGGCACAGGTGTGAGCAAGGTAGAAGTGGGTACTACCTGTGGACACCCTGGCTGCTCCAGCCCTGGGAACRCTCCGGCAYGGCCGCTCACGCAGCCTCGTTGCCGGAGCGACGGCATTGTCGGTGCTAGGAGACGGGAATTTCCGCCTCGCCCGCCCGCGGTGCTTGGGGACATTCGGTTCCAGGTCCGACACGCTACTGCACGGGTTTGCTTTACCTCCGAAAACTCCAATAGTTTCTCCCAGAACGCGGTAGGAGCTAAATTGAAAATGGCAATAGAGCTCACACAACAGCAAAGGCAAGCTGAGTGCAAACTTTCTCATCAAGAGGCGGACAAAGCAGAAAGAAAATACTAAGGACTCAACCTCTTGAATCCAAATCTCTCCAGGACTTTTTCATGTTTCTGGGAAGATGCAATGACAGCAGGTGGCACACGCAGACCCTCAGCTACATCCCTGTGGAGCTCCTAGGGCAGCCTCACCCCAAGGACCCTCAAGAGCAGCCTCACACCAGGTCCTCTGCCCACCCCACAGCCCTCCATCCAACAGGAATGCTTCACCAGCACCTTTACACACTATTTTCCACTCTGTTTCCCACAGATTGCAAGAAAGGCTGGCAAACTGGATGGAACGGCCTTGTTTTCCTTGTGTTTCCAGTGTTGTCCAACATCAAAGACGAACGTTGTCCTTTCCTGGACACGTGTGAAAGCTTCTGCCCTAACTTCAGCCATGTTTTAGATACCAATGACTTGTCCTGCAAGCCCACAGGGTAAAGATGTGACACTGCTWGTCTGCCAGTCATAACCACATAGTTAGTTCTCATGTGGAAATCCTGCAGACAGCCCAGTGCTGCTTTGCAACACATGTATTTTCCTAATTTGGGCTGACGCTGGCATGGAGACAAGCACAATTAAGCAACAGTTACAGCAACTATCGCTCCTCTGTGTACAACTTAAATGTTTTTACATGCATGCCCTTTTAAGTTAAATAACTTTTTTCTATATTTCCTTTAAAAATATATTAATAAAAAACTTTTTATATATTTATAAAATCTAGTCTTCTAGTATTGCTATTATATTTTGCCTTTCATTAATRTCTGATATAAACATTTCTACAGCTTGGGGAAAATAAGTTCTTCCATGCTCTTCTCTTTGGTGTCCTGTGCTGTACTTTCAGTGTTAATACAGGCTCTCATTTATTTCACCTATCTGCACAGATCCCTATACCCACAGAGATGGCTAAAACCAGCTCCTCAGACATGCAACTCCGGCAGCCGGTTAGTGGTCACATAACTTATAGAAAGCTCTTCCTACACCACAGAACTGGCATGCTCCAAATTAAACACGCCTTTTCTTTCGTAGCCTTTAAAGCTAAGCACRAAGCCATTAATATTCACTTTTGCAACACTCCCGCAGGTGGCACCACACGAGGCCAATTAGCAGCAGTAACACCAACTATGAATATTTTACCAATTTGCGTCTGCAAAAATRTCTGTTTGTTGTTTGCGGCGCTAAAAACCTGACAGGGCAGAAAGCCCCACATGCTCTGYGGTTTTGGGCTCCCACACGGCACCATCGCGGCACCTCCTCGAAGGCGTGAGGGCCGAGGGGCTGTGCTAACAGGGCTCGCTCTGCCCYGCGCAGCCCCTTCTCACCCCGCTACCCACGCAGGCCCTACTGGAAAATCAGCAGATGTTTAAAGGCAATTTCTCTTCTCCAAGAGCAGCTCCCTAAACAGGTCTGTCCCAAGCACCTGGGAAGCGGCAKGGCGGTAACGGAGCTTGTTGGCATCCCAAGAAGGGAGCGCTTCTTCCCCAGCTCCCTAGTGACGCTGCACGAAGCATTTACTGTCAGGATTTAACACGTGTGTTTCTGCAGTTTCTGGCAGGATTTAATCCAGGTATTTCAGCAGTTTCAGGTGCCACTGTTTGGGATAGCTGCTGGTGCCACCACTGCCCACGCTGCGGGCCTGCGCAGCCGCCCCACAGCACCCCAGGTCCGGCCGGGGGGGCCTGCGCTGCTCCACAGGGATACTACGGGCACCGCCGCCTTCCCGCCCTCCATCACAGCCCCGCCGCACCCGGGGGKAGACGGCCCGGGCCGCCCCGCCGCGAGCCGCGGCCCTGCCCG